CTGACCTTCTTGGCACTACCTGACTCTAACCTTGACCATTTTGGCTCTAGCTGACCTTCTTGGCCCCAGCTGCCCCTACTCTCCATCTTTTTGACACTACCGACCTTCTTGGCCTTACCTGAACTTCTTGGCCCTACCTGAACTTCTTGACACTTCTAGACTCTAATCTTGACCATTTTGGCCCTACCTAAACGTTGGACCAAGAAGGTCCTACCCCTGACCAATCCCCCTCACCCTGCCCCCCCCTCACTACTCCTAATATACCCCCTAATCATAAAAAGTAGGGCGTGTTAAACCCAAAAAATCGTTTGTATATATTTCTGCACCTTTAAACAATAGAAAGTTTATGAAAACATACAAAAAATAATAGCAAATGTACAGTGTTTAAAACGAAAAATAGTTTTTTAAATTAAATATTAAATTTTTAAAATGCTATTTCTTATAAACAACAATTATAGGTGAATAAAGTTTGAAAGGAGAAAAAGTGATTTGAAAAATAAAAAAAAATTAATTGAAAAAAGTGAATTTACAAAAAAAAGATTACAAGTTTTAAAAAATTCAACAAGGAATGGCCGAACCACGGTTAAGCCTACAAACGTAGGACAAAAGCATCGATACATCAGTAGATGGAATTTTGGCATAAAAGCTGTATCTAAATTACATACACCTTTCAAAAAATCGACATCTCGCTCGTCTCCTTTAAACATTTTTTTTTATAATCCACTAGCCTACTTTTCATTCGGCATGGCAAAGTAATCAATTTTACAAGAGCCAAACAATGACAAATTAATGAAATCGTAATTGAAGAATGGCACATGCTAATATTATGTTGCTGATGTTGGAAATGATGCTGTAAAGCTCGATTTCGTATTGTTCAGTCTCAATTTTATTAGGAATGACAGTGTCATTCCTTCACAATTCCAAGAAGTCGAAGCCAAGCTATTAGCGAAATAGGAACCACTTAAAAAATAACGTATTAAAACTATGAAATTCAAAAATTTTTATATATCATTTAAAACTTTTTGAAATTTTTAAAAATTATTTTAAATTTTTTAGTTTTTTTTTAATTAGTAGTTTTTGAGTAATTAATTAAAAGTTGTTTGATTTTAAAAACTTTTTTTTCAATTTTTACGTTTTATTATTTTTTCTTAAAATTTTCATTTTTACATAAATCGAAATAAATGAAAAATTGCGATATTTTTCGAAAAAGCCAAATTAACTACCCACCTCCTTAATTCATAATTCAACAAATAGCAATAAGCCATAATCAATACACATAACAGGCACTTTGTTATTAGATATAGGGCCAAAAAATACGTTTTGATTTGGTATTTGTTGTGTAAAACATCAATCGTAATGTAAAATGGTAAATTTGTTAATGAATTGTCAATAGTGGCTGAATGAGAAGTAATCCTTAAATCGCTCATTTCCTTATCTACCTTCTTCCATTCTGGTGCTGAAATTTTCCTTGTTATAATTTAAAAAAGTCAAGAATAGAGTCAAATAGGTCCAAAAAAGCCAAGAATAGAGTCAGGTAGGGCCAAGATGATCAAGAATAAGGTCAGGTAGGGCCAAGATGGTCAAAGGTAGGGTCAGGCAGAGACAAAAAGGTAAAGATTAGGGTCAGGAAGGTCAGGGGTAAAATATAATTATATAACTGTTTTTTATTTTTTTAATTATACGGGGTCACAACCGCCGTTTTGGGCCACAACCGCTTTTAGTGAGAAATATTTATAATGGATGTAATCTGTTGTAGCTTACATTCTGTTCCTTCAGAAGACGTTGAAGATGGTCAGTATGTTTCACATTGTTCTGAGCTTGTTCAAGGGCAATGGCTCGGCGGAGACTTTAGGGGATGGAGGGTCGGCGGAAACTTTAGGGGATTCGGCGGAGTCTTTAGGGGATTCGGCGAAAGCTTTAGGGGATTCGGCAAAAATTTTAGGGAATTCGGTGAAGGGTCGGCGGAGACTTAAACCAGACCATGCTAACTACCGTAATTACGACTATCTACCAACAGTCAACATACATTTTTTGATGGTAATCCAGAAAATTTGAATATACCAAAGGCTCAAACAACAGTTTTTGTTTTAAAATAATAATGAAACGTACCTGCAGTAATATATTTCTGCTTTGCGGTTCCATTTCGAAAGCATGCTCTACTGTATATAATTGGTAGAAATTCTATGGACACAAGGTAAATGTCCCATTGGGACACCATGCCAAACATTCTTTATCATTTAGAAGCGCCAATACGAATACATTAGTCATTACAATTAGGCAATCTTCGTTTCCGTCTATTTCAAAGTACTGTATTTGTAAGTTTGGGCGGTTAGAATTGCCCAAAGCAAATCGTTCAATGGTCGACTTCTAAAGTATTAAGTTTTAAGACGCTGTTAATTGTAATAAATGTTTTTTAATAAAATTTTCAATTATGACATTGTTCTCATGCAGCTTATGCTTCCGTCAGAGCCTTGTCGTGTTCCACGCATTCATGACTACGTTCGCCGGTATCCCGATTTAATTTGACTTCACATCCCTCTTCAACAAGAGTGAAACCACACTTGTTTAAACTCTTGCACTAACGCAACGCAATTTGGTAGTTGTTGTTCCGTCTTTGTTAGAACGTGGGCCAAACTTCATAAACTTGTAAAACACACCATTGTATTTCCTGCTTTTGCAGATAAAAGCACGATTTAACCTTCCCGTCGCACACTTATCCAAATTTGTTTTTTGTGAGATCAAAAATTCTGTGCCTTCTACAACGTCTTGCGGTTTTCGCTGGACGGCATGGCGTCTTTGCTTGGATTTGTTGGCTTCAGTAGCTTTCTGTTCGGCTGCCGTTGCTACAGGACTGCTTGCTGTTGGAATCGGGGTAGTTTCTAAACCTCTTTTTATTACTTGTTGTTTATAAAACATTTTTTCTCATATTTGAAACCGTATTGCAATTTTTTGCTAATTATAGTGAACTTAGCACGGCCGGTGGGGGTTGGCCAACGCCCGCACCTGCTCGGCTAGTCTTTAAATCAGCTGCCCCGCCCGTTAGGCTTACCCTTCGTCGCTGGTTGAGGCCCAAATCTCTTTGGCGTGGCGGTGGATCCATCTCCTTGCCTCCTCCCGTCCGGGTTATGACCAGCACCTCCCCAATACTATTATTTTTGCCTGCATCAGGCTTGAATACTCCGGTCTTCCTAGACAAAATTATACTATATAATTATAATATTGATATTCTCTCTACCTCTATGAGGTATTACTGATCAGCCTCCCAGGCTTAACTATATCCCCTCTTAATCCGTAACTTCCCCGAAACTCCCCTAAAAACTTCCCGGGCCCGTGTCCTCAAAACTGTAGTCAAAAACGCTGCGTACAAAAACTGGGGTTCACTTCAAAACTGGCCTAAACAGGCAAAAACACTTTAAAACACGTTTTTTATAAAAGTCGAGCAACGGTTCAATACAGTGGCTACGTGAAAATTCAAACTTGTTTAAAACTTTTCAAATTTTAACCGTTGACTATGTAAGTCATTACTATGTCAAAAATATAAGTTTTGAAAAAAATGATTACCGTATATTGTCATACTGTAATTTGGCCTCGCTTTTTATATCTAAAGAACCAGAAGAGCTAGAGACATGGGGTTTTCAAATAATTGTTTCTTAGTTTAAAATAAGCATTTTTTATAATTACGACTTATTGGTACCACTTCATCTAGTACCTTAAAATTTCAAAAAATAGTGCCATGTTGCAGTAATTCGTTCAAATTTCTAAATTTTTTTACTATTTACTACATTTTTTTTTTCGGTTCTAACGGTATAAAATACGTAAAATTAAAATGGGGTCCTTGGGGTCCACGCCCTTGTGGAAACTGGTGCACTACCTTATTTTACGTAAAAATTAATTGTAAAAAATCGAAAATTTAAACAAACTTTCTTGTTTTTACTTGGAAACCTCTGTGATAATATGTTTTATTGCAGAATGTCAATTTTTAATGTTTTTAAATTTTTCATTACCGTAATCCGACATACTGTAAATGTGTACTATATCTCCATAACCAGGTGTGATAAAGACATCGGGATTTCAATTACGTATTTATTAGAGTAAAATAAACGTTTTTTAAGTACAAATCAACACGGTACCACTCCGTCTGATACCTTAAAATTGATTAAAGTGGTACCATTTTAGTAAACTGCTTAAAAAACTTTTTTTTACTATTTTCTTGTTTTTAGTAGAAATATCCTTTGATTTTACTGTCATTAAATCATCGCCTTCTCCAAATGCTGCCATTATTCCTTCATTTGAGATCTTGTCAAAAGCGTTCTTTATTTTCTTTCGTTCCAAATATTTTGAAAGGGTAGGGTACCATTATTAGTAGTTCTAGGAGGGTAAGGTACAATATTAATAAGTTAGGAAGTGCTTTTTAGGGGGTAGGGTATTATTGGCCAAGATCGTTACGGTAATGTAAGCAATTTAGTACACACTATAACTGTAGTCGAAGCTACACTTTAATTTAATTAGCCGAGGTAGATTTTACTTTAGAATAATATTTATTTTTTAGTCTTCAGCACGATATGTATTACAATAATAAGTACGATAGAGTATTTTAGCACGGTAGGTAGTACAATAGGATTAGTACAGTATTGAGACAACATGAAGAATGTGTTATAAAGAACGGCTTTATATACTGCAAGAGATACAATAAAATACAGTAAAAGGTGATTAAAGTGATCATAAAAACGTAAAAAGGGAAAGTAAACAATATGTAAATTAGGCGAAATAATTGCCTAGAGGGCAAAATCAATTAAATTTTATGATTTGGGAACTCGTGAATGTATTTTTTATTATTAATCTATTGAGATACCAATTTTTTGATCAATTCACGACATTCCCAGCCATATAGGAAAGAAGAAAGAATAAAAGTAATATAACAAACAAAACTAGGCAAATGGTAAAAAAAGGAGAAGCCTTAATGGCGTTAAAAATTAAAAAAAGGGGGGGGGGGTAGGTCACTAATAATAATATTCCTTTTCCTCTCTCTCACTCTCTTTCTCACTCTCATCCGCAGACCATGTAGGCTCTTCTTTCGTTTCTTCCATCAGTTTGCGTTCTAAATCGCGTAGGGTAACTGAACGCTCCCATTTTCGAGCGCGCCCTAGTGTGGCTACATACCAGTTGAAGTCCGCTCTAACTTGATCAATTTGATGTTCAACCAAATCGAGGTGCTCCAGAATTGGTTCGGAGTCGAAGGGCCGTGGAAGGTCTCTCAGAAGGTTGACACTTCCTTGGATTTGAGAACAGCGACTGAGTAAGTTGTTTTCCTGCTCCTTTATCTTAATTTTAGACACTTCTTTCTTGAGGAAGCGTAGGATTTTTCGCTTCTGTGTTCTTTTGTCATGTCTTGACTTGGGCTCTTCCTGATCTTGTTCTGGTTGGTCTTGATCTTCGTCTTCTTCTAAGCTCAAACATTTCATCGTGTTCAGCATGACCTCCATTGGGTTGATTCTGGAATAGACTTTCTGTTGTTTGATGAGGTCTGAAGTCAAGTTAGTCATCCACTTCTGAATTTTTTGAGTAAACTCCAGTGCTTGTTTGTACCCAGGATTCTGTCCTATCCCTACAACGTATGTATATGTGTTATTATATTATCATATATATAAAAACCAGATTAATAAACATTTTTTATTTATTTTTTTATTGCTATCTTTGATTCATACTATATTTATTTACCTTTGATTAATACTATATTTATTTATCAGGGTCTTATCACATAACAATAATAACTGATCAAATCTAATCGATTTTCTCTTTTTTTAGCCATTGCTGATGAGCGCTCCGTTGTGCCCTACTCCTTAGGGGCAATAACAGTTAACGTTGGTTACAACCGCTCTTTGGCTTCTAATCACGGCTGCATGAGCCGTGAAAGTACCTATCTCACATTGTACAGATAGGATGGTATAATTAGTCAAATTGCTAATTATCGCAAGGCTTTTGCGAGTTTGGGGAAGGGATACGATGCTGAACCGCGTTACCACGCCAAGCAACCTTTGGTATCCTACCTGGGCCCATAACCCAGAGGTCGGGGGATCGTAACCACTGCTACCAGTAAAATCATGGCCCATATATATATTTCTAGACATAGTTATTTTACGTATATTATGACCCTGACCGGGTCCCACTTCATTTTACGTGGCTCATAATGTAATATAATACAATATTGTTATCAAACAGAAAGAGAGACCATATTATTATACTGTTGTAAATTTACAAAATAACATTTATACGTTCATATATCGAAATTGAGGGTTATGTATGTTAACAGTGTACAAAGTTTTTAACGTAATGATTGACAACATTGGACATATAAAAATGTCTTGCTTAGATCTTTTGGGCATTAAGATACGGTTCCGCGTGCTGAACATGTGATTTAATTTAATATACACAAATTTATCAGACCACAAGTTTCGTCCATGACGTTAGAGTCGTCGATCAATCTGAACGCATCCAGGTCCAGCTCTGACACCACTTTCCTGGGTTCTGCTTGCTGGCGTAGATTCAAGTTAAGTTGCTGAAGCCGATGATTTTCCGTTTATTCTGGAGCACCTCGATTTGGTTGAACATCAAATTGATCAAGTTAGAGCGGACTTCAACTGGTATGTATACCTTGATTGTGGAGCCGACTGGTAGCTGTAAATGGCCTATGCTACCGAAATGTCCAGTTTAAACTGTCCGCGGTATTTTACCGAACTGGACCATGAAGCTGGGTCAGCACGTCTTTATTAACCCGTTGGGTGCCTGGAAGATTGTCTTTCATATGAGTCTGGTCTAATTCTTTAAACGAATCCGATAGGCTCAGTAGTCTTTCTTCCATTTATCAAGTCCTCCAAGTCTTCTCGAATTGTCTTGACTCTTGTTCTTTCCTCTTCTAAATCCACCACGTTCTGGTTGTTTATGCTCCCAAGGTATAAATGTGAACGTTTTAATTCATATGGTCCATCCTACGCGGTTTTGTCTTCCTACATAATATAATCCTCTTTTAACGTTTGAACAAAATTTTCCAGCATTTTCGACAATGATTATTGTCATGCTTACAATTTTAGTTTTTTTGATATGTATTTTCATATATCGAAACAGTGTTAGGTCGCAACAACTTTTAACTATACTACTATTAGGAGTAAAATACTTATTAAGATTAATTTACCCACCTATATCGGGTATTGTACGCTGTTAATCCCCCAATTACGAACCAACTGGTACTGTCTAGTCATACAACTCGTCCGACAGCTCGAACCGGCTGACCTAATTCCATAAGTCTATTATTACCATTATTAATATAAAATACCTTAAACTAATTATAAATTACTATTCTTATTTATTTAAGCAGTAAGCATTACAATTATACAAAGCTAAATATAAGCGGAAAGACAAATCTAAATATATTAACTTGTACAATACATTTATTACAAATAAATTTTAACAAAAAACATTTCGTGACCAGTATTAATTAATTCAGTATTAAGGATTATTATTAGAGAAAAAAAATTGATAGTAAGACAACAAAATTACTTTTCAAAGCCATAAGGCAAAACAAAACGTCCATCATCACTAATAAAACCTTTATCAAAAACTCCAGCATACTTTTTAGTACGGTGCGCTGTGCTGAACAAGCCTCTGTTCCTCTTTGCACGGATTTCGTCAAAACGCGAATCTAGTTGACTTCTTGTGCCAGTAGAAATCACATCGTTGACAAGGTTCTTGAAACTTTCGTAGTTAATCTCCTTGCAAGTAATTAAATTGAGTGTTATGCCTCGTAGTTTAAGGTCAAAGTCGACGTTCCCGGTATTGAGATCTTTTGATTTGAGAGCGTATTGTTTAGGACCCAGACTCAAAAACTCCTGTATCTCCTTGCCTTTCTTCTCATCCTCCATGTCTCCCAGGAATCGTCCAACTTATACTGAGAACCGTCCAGACTTCTTGTCATAAGTAAATATGACACTATCTAAAAATAAATATTTAAGTTTTAATACAAATATTTAAGTTTTTAACATAAATAATTATTTACTGTATCATAATACAAAACTTGTGGACCAGCATCTTCAATTTGTTCAAAGAAGGAGTTTCTTGAACGTGACGTATACTAAGTCTTCATCTACGTTCCTGTAAGGCCAACTCCATATTGATAAAATCGTCAACTGTATACTCACAACTAGATTTTTTTGTGTGCGTTAACTGAGATTTTGCTCTTCTTCTGGGGTTTTTATTCTGCTTTTTAACAGTCAATGCTTTTAACGTTTAGTAGTTTGTGCCGCAAAAATCTCTCATTTTCTTGTTAACAGCATCGTTGTACTTTTTAACGTAGCTAGTGAATCCATTACCGCTCACAGAGTTTCCTAATTGATGGGCTATTTCATGGATTATGACATTAAATATAACACCTGCGTTGCCTTTCTTTTCTTTTTTTGGTGTAGGAGCGTTCAAAAAGTCTGTACGAAGAAAAAGTGGATACTACTATAGACGAATAGAAGGTTACATTAAAATGACACATACGAATTCAGTTTTTACTAGAAGTACATAATGTATGGTGATGCCCAACTTTTTTACACATAGATGAATTTTTACATAAAGCATGAGTAAGTTTTGATAAACAGTGCTGGCAATTTGATGACTCTTTTGACTTCAATTCGTTATATTTAAAAACTGATTAAAGACATTTCTTCTCGTCCCATAACTCCGCTCTCCGAGTGAGCGACAAAAATATAATTAATAAATTATACTGAACATATTTTCAAAAATACAGCTTTTCAGCAATATATCAACACAATATATGTAATATAAATAGTAGTATATAAGTAATATCGAAAACAAGCAAAGTATTTTATGTGTAGAATTATTACAAAGTTATAAACAATGTCCGGCCTAAAACAAAATAGAATATTTCCAGAACCAATTTTCAATCAATAATAGAAGTCACTAGCGTTCAGATAAAACCATTTTGAAAGTTCTAAACAAACTGAATTTTTTATATTTTTTTACAGTTAGGCTATCAAAAGTAACGGTGGGAAACGGACGGGACCACTTTTCATTCCCGGTGCGCGGGACGGGCCCAATGTTTCGCCCGGCTCATTGTCATTTTTAAATCAGCCCGGCCTGGTCCTGTCAAAAAAAATCCTAGGTACGGCCTGCCCCGATTAAAAAAAAGCTGTTTTAACAATTTTAAAATTTAAAAAACAAAAAATAAAAGAAATTTTAGATTTGAACTGTTTTTTAAGGTCATTTATTGATTGGAGTATCTAAAACAATCACCAAAAAATAAAAAAAAATCAAAAAAAAATTTCGCGCCTAAATCTATTTTTTGAGCCCAGCCCGTTTCAAATTTAGCTCCGGAACTAGCCGGGCTGACATGGCCCGTTTCTCATTCCTAAACAAAAGTAATCATTCATATTTGGACCATTAATACATAAGTAATATAATAATATATAGTAGTATATGTATTACAAAGTACGAATAATATATTAACAAGATCTCTAAATTAATACTAAAATTTAAAAAAAAAATAGATTTCCAACCAATAAAACATAAATAATACAAAATTGCCAAACAAATAAAAAAAAATTAAAATACAAAAAAATTTAAAAAAAACTAGTGCAAAAACTGTGCTGTTTTATATATATATTTAGCATATATTAATGAATGAGCTTTGCAAAAAGTTCGTGGTCAAACCATCAATAATTCGGCTTTTAAGGATCAGCGCATAGAACAAACAAAAAGGAAAGTCAGGCCAGCGCTTGATAATATAATGGCACACTTTACAACCGATTTAATTCTTTTTTTTGGCAAGAGAAGCGCCAATACTTCTTTTTGGCTTAAGCAGATGCCTCCGCTTGACAATAGCGCGATCGCCAGGCTTTTATGGCGCTCTTTTTTGTTGAAATAAACATTTATCCATTGCAATAATAATATCAACATGAATAGATTTTATTGGATTGATCCAAAGGTAGCGAGATATTGTTTAGTTGAAAAATAAATGAAAAGTGTCCCGCTACTTTTGGTTCAATTTAATAATACCCATATAAATATACAAGGAAAGTACCCAACCAGCCTCACTCAGAATTAGCTCAAAATTTTTATATAAACCCTTTGTACCAATAGTACCCATAAAATGTTTTAGCTCGCGCTTTTAATTTTTAAAATTTTAATATTTGAGTTTCCCGCCAATTTGACTAATTTGGCATTGTGTTTCAAGAACTTTTTTCGGCTTTCCAGACAATATACATTTACAAATTTAAAAAAGTATAGGTTCATCTAAAGATTTTTTATCAGTTTATCGAAGAAAAATGATTAAAAGTGAAACTATAGCAAAGTTGAGCTTGAAACACAATGCCAATTTGGCGGGAAATTCAAAAATTAGTTGTTTGATCCCGATTTTCTCGAGATTTACTGCAAATCGCGATTTAGTACTTTGCCGAAGATCTTGTATTTATATGATGTTTATATATAAAAAGTTTGAAGTCAATCACAGAGGGCCAGGTGGGGCACTTTCCTTCACAACTATATAAATAGGTATACAGGACAACAACTCTTGTTTAACAATCCAATACCAAAAAAATAATATTTAATACCCAAAAAACAAAAATTTTCAAAAGTGAAATAATATTATTCATCTGTATTCTCCAGCTGTTGTAAATCGACTTCTTCGTCTACTAGAACATCTTCGTCCATTTCGTTTCGTTTTGATTTCGGATAGTGAACAGGTGCTGAATAGTCCGGTACTATGCGAGTGCCACGTTGGGAAGGTTGGACTTTGTCCACATTTTGTTTGTTGGCTTCTATTTCTTCTTTTTGGAGCTTTTCTTCCTATAAATGCATGTTTTACTACGGTCAAAATGTAGTTTATCACAGTTAACTCTTCGTCTTACAAAGCCTATCCTACTCTACCCATTATACCATAAACTAATATACCCTACTCTACCCTATCCTGCCTTACTCTACAGTAATTTACCCTACCTTACCCTACTCTACTTTACCCTACCCTACCCTACGCTACCCTGCCCAACTTTACCCTGTCCTACTTTACGTTATCCTACAGTGCCCTACCGTTACCGTATCAAACCCTACAGTACTCTAGCTACCTCTGACGTGCCAAACTTACTCTACAGTGCCCCACAAAAATACAGTAACTCACCTGTCGATGATACTCATCCAAGAAAGCGTCCAATTCGATTTCCCACAGTTTTCTCCAATCCTGTGCCTTAATCCGTTCCAATTCCCTTTGTTTTTTGTCTTTTTCCGCTTCCAATCTTGTCATTTCTTCGTCAGATATCTTCCAGTAGTTCATTCCCAATAGGTAGTCAAAGAAAGATGTTGAATCAACGTTCTGAAGGCACATTATTTAGTGAAACATATAGGTAAGAATAGTGTTAGAAACAGATATAAAGGCTGAATTCGAAGTAGCATATGGTAGGGTAGGGGCAAGATAAGATAGGTGATAGTGGGTAGGAGAGTATGGGAGGCAGGGGTAAATCTACAGCACAGCCAACCCAACAAACCCTACAAAACATACCGTCTCCTCCTCATCGCTCTGTGTCTTCTCTTCCAAATACTTATTTTTTCCCATCTTCCACACCTTAACCGGATCAGCTTCGAAGCCTTCTCGTTTTAGCACTTCGACCAGTTCTTTTTTCGGTAATCTCCCCAACTTTAGACTGTCATTCAGTCTCATTTTCATGAATTTCAATTGAAATTCCACCTTTTTTAACCTCGGCTTCGATCATTTCTCTCACAAACTTCCTCCTCTTGATGTAGTACTGCTTTCTGACTTCAAAGAACTCTTTTAGGATTTCTTCTGGCGAATCGTAGAATCGGATTCGATTCTCCACATCGAATAGTACCATGGTGTTTAATGACATCATGGATCGTAGACGGAAGACTTTGTGAAGGCCAATTTTTCGTGCTTTGAACAGCTTTTTGGTATTCATCCTGACGACAAACTTGACCGTGCTCTCGGTGTGATACTCTTTGAAGGACTCGATTATATTGTCTTTGAGCATTTGTTCTAGGACCTGAAACATATATTAAGTCGCAAATTAATTTGTATTTTACTTAGTACAAAACGAAGTACAGAGAAAATGATAGTATTACAGTAAACTACATGTACAAAGAGTAAGTTCTGTTAGTACTACACCACGTACCAGTACTAAGAGTAGTTCCTATTAGTACTATAGTGCTATGGTGCGTACAAATACTAAGAGTAAGTTCTATTAATTGTATATCACCTACAAGTATGCAAAGTAATCCCGCTAGTACTATACAAGCTGCCATTTGTACAAAAAATTTACGGCCACACAATTCTAGTGCACTATAGTAACTAAAACACATATTTTAAGCCCTATATTGCTTGAAATACCAATATACAGCCACATATTACTTATAGTACCAATTTCAAGTACTATATTAGTTATAATACCAATAATAAGTACTACATGCCCATCTGTATCATTTCTAAGCTCTACAGTATATAGATCAAATACTATCTATAGCATATTTCCTACAGTACCAACTTTAGCCCTATAGAACCATCATAGTACCACAAACCAAATTTCATAATAAAAATAATATAATACCATTTTTGAGTACTATATCATTTATAGTACCAAAACCCCATTTTGAACCCTATACTACTAACTACACTAAAACCTCACCATAGCATCAAAGCCCCAATTTTCATTATATAGTACCATTTCTAAAACACAATTCCACAACTCACCTGCTCCTTATAATGCTGAGTCCACACCTTGATTGGTAGCTCAGTGATTTCCACACAGCTATTATTAATCTTAATTATCTCTCCATACGACAAGTACCTTCGATCATTCAGCTTGAACATGGTACCTTTAAAGTTTTTAAACCACGGCTCCATCGGTACCATTGGCTTGCTTTTGATCAAACGTTTGATATTCTTGACCACATCCTCAGGTTTAAAATTTGGAATTTTGGAGCACCAGCCAGTACCAACGCCCATTACGCCATTGATCAGAGCTACTGGTACAATTGGTACGTACCATATGGGTTCCACTTTTTCGTCCAGATCGAATTTTGGCTAGAAATTGTAAATTTTATAATTTTTTAATTTACAAAATTTTTTTAAAAAAATTAAAAAATTTTTGAAATTTAAACAAATGATGCATATTATTGTATTTTACCTACCCTCAAGAGTTGATCATCGATTTGAGGAAAGATATATCTTGTTATTGGACTCAATTGTGTATATAAGTACCGTGCTGAAGCTGAATCCTTTCCTCCTTCAAGTCGAGTACCAAACTGACCATGTGGTACCAGTAAATTGATATTATTCGAACCAACAAAGTTTTGGGCCATTCCTATTATCGCTTCTAACAGAGCTTTCTGAAAATTTAAAAATTGTTAAAAACTTCGTATCTTGTCGTAGTAAGTAATGTTTCCAGTGTAGACATTACTTACTACATCTTACCCTGTCTTTTCCCACCTGACTCTACTTTACCCTATCTGCCCTACTACTGAATTAAAAAGACCCTACCCTACCTTACCTTACCCTACTCTAACCTACCCTGCCCTACCGTATCGTACCGTACCGTATCCTACCTTATCTTACCTAACCCTACCCAACCCTACCCTACACTATTCTACCTACGTAACCCTGCCTTGCTGTACTCCTTTGTCCTACCGTACAATACAGTATTCTGCCGTGTGTTATTCTACCCTACCCTAGATAACCCTACATTACTTCTACCATGCCCTAACATATCTTACCCTGCCATGCTCTATCCTACAATACAAATGGTATCTTACCCTGCTTTACTGTAACAAAACCTAAGCTATTTTAACCAACCTAAATTATAGTATTATTTAATTCAAGACTTACATCTCCATGATGATAAGCAGTCAGTTCTCCCACAGCACTAGCCAACTGTTGCACTCTCAACTGTTTCTTGTCGTACCTCTTGAAACAAGTGAAGATCACCTTTCTTTGAACCGGTTTCAAACCATCAATAAGATTGGGTATGTTCCTCACGTTATCAGCATTCGAAAACACTATCAGTTCTTTGTTGATAAACTCGGAGAAGGTGAGTGAGCGTTGATTAATGTCATATATGACATCTTCGGGCTCTTCCAGGGTTTCGGTCGATTTCTTTTTGTTCATATACTCGGTAATCCAGGTTTTGCGGTCTTCAACACGATCTTTAGAGAAGGCTAGCTCTAGATTAGCATCGTCTTCTTGACCTGAATACTCGAATTGAACTTGATGACGTTCGAGGTTGTTAAAGTACTCTTTCGCTTCTTTCGACGTTGATGTGCCCAGACCTAAAAATAAAGTTCATATAAGGCAGGGTAGGGCAGGGTAGACATGAGAAACGGGCCAGGCCTGAATGTTAGGCCCGGCCCGATCGAAACTTTGCTCAGAGCCGGCCCGGCCCGTTTCTCATGTCTACCCTGCGGGCCTGAATGTTAAGCTCGGCCCGATCGGAATTCTGCTCAAGGCCGGCCCGGCCCATTTCTCATGTCTAGGGCAGGGTAGGATAAAATAGCATAAAACAAAGCAGAGTAAAGCACATTACAACACATCAATAGGTAATACCCTACCTTTGTAATACTTAATCTTGTAAGTGTTCCAATCCTCAGTGTTCTTCTGCCATTGTAAGTACTGTGCCATTGAATAGAATGCTGTAGATTCATTTCCCTTCGTTGCCTTAACTATCGGAGTGATGAACTGTTCAATGAAATTGTGTTTTAAAAGTTCTGGCCAGTTGTGATGAATAAAGTTGATGATCAATCCTTTGATATGACTTCCGTCTTCGTCCTAAAATACGAGTTTTATGACATTTTAGTAGGTATAGTGCCTAGAAATCTCAAGCAAAAGTAAAAAATATGTCATAAATAGGTACCAAGTGGCAAATAGTACCATTAGTTATTAACAAGTAAAAAATAGTACCAATAACTAGTACCAATTAGAAAATAGTACTATTAAACAGTAACAAATAAAAAATAGAACCATTAAATAATACCAAAAAAACAGTACTCTTAATTAGTACCAAATAAAAAATGGTACTATGTTAAGCCCAAAAAAAAAGATTAAAAGCCACTTTTAGTTACCTGATCAGTCATGATCATAATTTTGCCATATCTCAAGTTGGCCCTTTCTTCTTCACTCTCGTATGTTCTTTTATATTCCAATCCCAATATCTTGATCAAAGCATTGACTTCCGAATTCTCCAACACTTGCTGATAGCGGCCCTTTCGAACGTTCAACATTTTTCCCTGAAATTTAATCGATTTTCCATCTCTGAATTTGCACAGCGTATTTTACAAGTACTCCTCGTTTTTTATTTCCCTTACATTTTTGCCCTACTACACGGGTAAAATACACAGATCAGCTGATTAGTTTTTTGAAGGCTTTGGTACCCTACCCTACCTTAAACTATCCTGCTCTATCCTACCCCATGATGCCCACACCTACACCTATGCACATGCCTCTGTTCACGCCCATGCTCATACAATTCCCCATACCCTACCCGCCATAGCCTGCGCTGCTCTACCCATAAGCATACCTCTGCCCATACCACCCTACCTTACTCTATCCTACTCTCCATTACCACATCCTGTCACGTTACCCTACCCACATCCTACTGCAACCTAAGTTACCAATATCCCTACCTTCTCTCTCGTTTTTACCCACCTTTTAAATCACCACCCTAGCCCAACCTAAAAATCTTACCCTCAACGAGAACACTCCGTATTTGTCCTGTCCCAGTGCACTCAACCCAGCTATAGCCAAACTTTTGGCCGAATCACCTTCAGTCAATATTAATGTACATTTGGATGACCTTGAAGTTCCAGCTTCATTCGCATCGACTAGTTTTGGCACATCGATTTGCGCCGTTCTAACATAAACATTGGCCTTTTCGTATCGTTCCATTTGTTTCTTTTTGGCCATACTGGCTGAGGCTTCTATGATTCCGGCTGATAAGACCTGAAAATTTGAAATTCTATTAACATTTATAAACCATTAGAGTCATTTTAATACCCAATTTTACCATTTTACTACCTAATCATACCTTTTTGATCATTCTTTCCTCAAGTTTCCACTCCGACCCGAACAGTTTAGGCTTTGTAGTCAGCGTTTCCTTGGTCTGTGAATCAAAAGCCGGGTTCTCAATAAGCGAATTGACAAAGACAAACAGATTGTTCTTGATCTGATGTGCCTTCAGTTGGATACCTTTTCGCTTCATTTTGGGCTTTAACTCTTCCATTAGAGCGTCGACGATCTGTTCGACGACATAGTCAACATGCCTGCCGCCTCTGACCGTCCAAACCGAGTTCACGAATGACATTTGTTGAAAACCTCGGTTCGACAGCCCTATACCTACTTGCCATCGTCTGTTGTGATCGTATATTAGTGAGGTTTTAGAGGATTCATCTTCGAAAAAAAGATTCATATAGTCGTGGAAGGTGTTGATCTACAATAATATAAATTTTTAGGTTATACAATCGCACTCTAAACCATTTTAGGTTTATATTGTCAAAGATAGACTCTTTTTATCAATATAAAGCTATAACACAAAGACGTCGTTTGGAGGAGGGGGAGGGGGGGGGGTACCCCCTCCCCCAGAGCCGATCCGAAAAAAATTGCACAGGTAGGTACCTGTACGCGAAAAAACGAAAAAAAAATTTTTGAAAAACCCTACCTGTGGACGAAAAATTTTTTTTCGACCTCCCCCCAGAGAAAATCCGTAGCGACGTCCCTGCTATAACAACATACTTTTTTCAATAACTTTACCTATTTTTTCAAAAAAATCTAATAGGTATGCCTCATCATTACTTCCCCAAACTTACAGCCAACACCTCTCCATTCAAAGTGACCTTAACCCCCTTAGTTGTCGCTGAAATGTCCAATGCTCGCCTTGCCATAAGACCAATTATTTCGTCGTCCAAAACTTTCATTCCAAACTTTTGTAGGTCTGGAGTAAACGTGACTTTTGTGTAGTCTTCCGACCGTGCCACTTCGATTTCTGGGCTGGTTGTTTGAGTCATATTGTTGGTCCAGCTCTAAAGGGGAATATTATAATAGCCAATCTTGTATTTAAAAGTTTTAGCTACAACCCTACGCTACCCTATCCTACCATACCATACCCTACCCTGTCCTATCCTACCATACCAAACCCTATCCTACCGTATCCTACGCTATCCAACCGTAACCTACCCTGCTCTACCCTACCTTTCCCTACCCCAAATTACCTTACCCTATCCTACAAACTCCTATTCTGTCCTGGCGCAGCCAACCTTACCCTGCCCTACTGTGCTCTATCCTACAACCATGACAAGCCCTTCCTTACCTTAACCCTCTTTACCCTAAGCCACCTTATCCTACCGTACTCTACGTTATCTTGCCCTGCCCTATCCTACCCTGCATTAAGCCCTTACCTGCCGAAAACTCTTGCCATTCTCGATAAAACTCGTTTCGAGAGTGAATTCCTTTGAGAATATATTACACAACTTCGCTCCAAACCCATTCCTTCCTCCAGTCGTCTTTCTTTCCTTGTCATCGTAGTTTGAAGAGGTTAGTAGGGTGCCAAAGATCAGCTCTGGGATATACATTTCTTCTTTTTTGTGCCATACGACTGGTACTCCTCGACCATTGTTCAGTATTGATATTCGGTTTCGGTCTCTGTAAAGAAAGTTCTTGCAATTTTATTTTTTGTTAATAAAGCTCTTTCCATTTTACGTTTTGTAAAAAAAGTTCTTGCCATTTTTTGTTTTGTAAAGAAAGTTGTTGCCATTTTTTAATTTGTAAAGAAAGTTCTTGCCATTGTATGTTATGTAAAGAAAGTTCTTGCCATTTTATGTTTTGTAAAAAAAATGCCTTCAATAGCCTTATTTCGACTTACTTATCAATATCCACCTCGATCTTGTTCATCCTCTTATCTCTTCGTCGATTATCAGCCGCATTTACCAGAATTTCGTCGAATATTTTGTACAAACCAGGTACAAAACTAATCGGTTTATTGACCAGTCGTTTCTCCTTCATGTCATATATCCACATTAGCGTTCTGTCACAAAACTCCACTGATCCGATGTAGGTATCAGGCCTCAGGAGGATGTGTTCCAGTTGAGTTTTGCGTTGATATTGTTGTTCTACATCTTCTTCAAAGACTTCTGCCACTGTTTCATCTCCGAACTCTTCTGAACTAAAGGTTCTTTTTGGTAGATAGAGATGGTATTGAAGCCGGTAGATGGGTTTTGACCTATAATAATATACATATCGGCTATTATAAAATGAGAAACAAAACTTACAAACTACCAAAGACATTTCTAAAAATCAGCGGGTTTCTGAGCATTATAATCAAAAAATAAGGCGATATTGAAACACAGTTCTGTTGCTTCTTTAGTCATTTATCCTTGTCAACATAGCACCTACAACTTCATTAAAGCAATTTTTTTCATTTTTTTGAGTACAGGAAAACCGCATTCCCTCTCCACCTAGCTACGCCCCTGCCTAAAAGATGTAATCACATCGATGCTTTTAAAAGTTTTGTCGCTTTTTAGCAGGCAAACCTTTACTACAAAGCGCCAAGACTTTTTTCGCCTTTATGTAATTTCAAAATAACAAAAATTGTAAATCTTTCAAAATAAAGCCGTCAAGTTTACATAAAAAAACAAATTCTACTATCAAAATTTCAAAAAAAACCGAAATTTCAAAAAAAATCTCAAAAATTTTTTTTAAAAATTCATTTTTAATTCAAATATCAAACACTAAAGCCAATACCAAAGCAAATACCAATGTCAATAGAAACATGTAGAAAGCAATAAAAACTGTACACCGTTTATTAATTATGTTTAATGATCAACATTAACAAGAAAGCCTTTGTTATAAGTTAGAGGTTTGGGTTGGACGAGAGGCTCGGATTCGAATATTAAGACTACATTACTAACAATACATACAACGTTGTAAATGACTCAAAAATTACACAAAAATATCGACCAAAATCATGAAATTGTACTGTGGCAGAAGAAAATTTACTGTAGCACAGGGAGACCCATACAAGATTACTGTAACAGAAACAAAATTACTGTAGCACAGAAAAACCAATACAATATTACTGTAAAATGAGCAAAGATTACTGCAGCACAGGAAACCCATGCAATCTTACTGTAACAAGAGTAGACCAATAGGTTACTGTAGCGTAAGAAAACCATACAATATTACTGTAACAAATACAAAATCAAAAGATACAAAGATTATAAAACCACAATATGACATGTTATCGTAAGTACCGGAAAATCTCCAAATTTCTGCCGACTTCCTACTGTAACATTGACTACCGTAGACGTTGTTCCACACGATCGAAGAAGGCGATTCGGTTTGTTTCCTTCACGTATATCACTGAAAACATAAAAATATTAGTCATAGAATTTCACAATTTAGTCTTCAACGCCGATAAACAAGAAAAACAAGCTTTTATTTTACCTTTTACGTACTATAATATCAACTAAAAGCAAAAAAAACTCAAATTTTCAAAAGTTATGGCAAAAGAAATTGTTATAAATCCCTTAAAAACCGCAAGAACTTCCTTTACACCTAAAGAATCATCAAACAATTCACAAAAAACCTTATATTAACCTTGTTTTAGACCATTTTTACATCAAAAATCGCCAAAAAATCAATTTTCCACTCAAAAGTCACCCTTATCTTCCTAAGTAAAACCACCCCCCCCACCCTTCACTAAACCCCTCAAATATCCCTACCATTCGGATTGATATTTTCAAACTGGGTTTCCAGGTTTGGATCTTCATGTAGTTGAGCGAATAACCTTGGGATTAGCGTTTTCCGTTCTGTATCACTCATATACGATTGGAGAGGCATCAGACCAGATACTAGACAGTATCGTTCCGTTGCTTCTGTCACGGTCCTGGGCGTTATTGACACTAGTAGAGGCTTTTTTATTCGAAAACCGCGGCGAATCTGAAGAAAATGGCTACTACAATACCAAAATTGACATAATCAAGTTAACAGTAAATCACAATAACATTCTTCTCCACCTTTTAAAATCCATTCCCTCCCCTAAAACCTAAAACAATCCCTTACCGACGCAAATATCCTCAACGCCAACATCATGAACACGTTCAGAAGATGTGACGACGTTAATAAGAGCTCTGTTTCTGGTACGTCTGGTACATACAATGCGTAAAACGTATTCGTATTCAAAAACAAACTCTGTCGCATACAATCAAAAGCCAATTGGGTTATGTTCTCCAGTGTTTTCTGATATTGTTTTAGACTTTGGTCGGTTTCGGCCGAATTTCCGCCGTGATTCCAGATGGTTTTCTTTAGAAACTCCATGGAATTGAAGTATCGTGACTTGAAGTCGTTCTCTTTCCCATCGAAATCCATTTTTAGAGCTGTGATTCGAGCATAATCGGCCGAATTGAATTGTCTTGAGAAGGCAAAATGGGAGAAGAAGGTGGCGAATGAGGTGTTCAGGCCGATTAGCTCGTTCTCCATGATTCTGAAGATCTCCTGCCTTCGTTCCGAGGTTAGTGAGTGGAAATTGGCATTGCATTCGTTTAAGGGTATTCTAAAAATTGAAAAAAATTTAATTTTGATATAATCAATCTCAAATTTAAAAAAAAATCGATAAAAATCGCATTTAAATTATAATATAAACCTTGTGTTTGTCATAATAACCCATAATGTAACACTTTACTTAGTTCTGATAACATTTCCTATCTTACCCTAGTGTGGCGTATGTCTCCCGAAGCTTATGTGCCCCTTGTTGAGTCCACAGACGGCATGAAGTGATAAAACTGACATCGTGTACGACGCTTTGATGCAGAGTCCAGTGGTTGTATAGTGGTATTGGTAGCCTGGAAATCGTTCATTATAACATTTTAAATTTTTCAGCTGATTTTCCATTTTTAAAGTATTAAATTTATTTGTAACAGGCCGAGTGAGATACCCCCCCCCCCAAAAAATTTAGAAAAAAGTTGAACGTGACCCCCCCCACCCCAGTATATTTTTGGAAAAAAATTTGCCTGTGCCGATTTTTTCGACCCCTACCCTCAAACCAAAAGTGCCCGCCCGGCCCTCAGTCCCTTATGTTGATGACATCATAAAGAATGACCCAAAGCTATGCAAGCAGGTGTAATTTAGACTAAAGTTACGTTCAGACAAGTGTGTGGCAGATGCCAGAAAGTTAAGATACCTCGAATACCTTCTTATAAATACCTGAATTAAAACTATTTGGTTAACTTGAGGTTATACTTAAGATTTTGGTATTTTTATAAATAGTTCGTTTTTAGACTTTAAAGATCGTTATGTTACTCTTTGATAATTAAAGTAAAACCAGAGTTTAGCCTTTCAACAGTCGTATTTTACAAAAAGTGACATAGTAAAAGCATTTTAAGGTTATACTTAGAGCTTTAGAGAGTTTAAAGTTTATTTTTGTGTTTAAAAATGTAATTTTAGGCTTATAAGTAGTAGTTTCAAAGCCGTATCGCCTTGGCAGTATAAACACCCCTAACCTTACCTTTAGTAGGATGACATCGTGCCTCTAAACCCCCGCCCTTCGACAAAAAGACCCTCCCTAATGAAAAAAAACCCTCCCCAATAAATCCTTTCCCAATAAACCCCCCTCCCCTCCCAAACCTCCTAAAACCCACTCTTTATTAAACGATATCCTCAACGTTGAATCGTTTTTGACGTGTGTTCGAGGTGCATACAACCTAGTAAATGTTCGCATCGTCTCCACACATATACTCGTATAGGTTTGTAATGATATGATGTCCTCAACATAATAATGTGTCAACGCTACACATGCACACCAGCTAAGCTCAGCACTTGACATTCCTAGCGAGTGGGCCAGTTGTAGCATTAGAACGGCACTCTGGAAGTAATGTTAGATGAATCATGTTACTTATTTACTGCAAAAGTTAGTTTAGACACCAGAAAGTCAATTTAGGTATCAATAACGCTCAATAAATCTCTCATTACTTCCTCTTTTATATCTAACTCATGATTTTAAAGCCCGAAACAATCTAAAAATCACAATATTCAAACGCACAGACCTACCGGATACTCAATATAACTATTAACAGCGTACTCCCATTGCAATCGTTCCCTAGTCTGCTCCCATAACGTTCTATTCCGTTTCTTTATACCTCTTAACGCTATCTGAGTAATATCTCTATTTTCAGCATCATTCTCATCTTCCGATTCTGATTCCTCATTCATATCGACAATAGACTCCAAAGTCGGTAGATTCCAGCTGTTTATCTCTGACGTCCTGCATATTACCTTAACAACTTGATTGGCATATACATTCGACAATTCGACCGGTCGTTGACAGTCAAACACATAGAGTTCTAGCTGAAAACATTGAACTTTATAATATTTAACTGAACATAAAGCAAAGTACATTTAAAACTTAAGAAATTCAATTTAATTCAAGAAAAATGTAACTTTTGAAAATTAATATACTTAGCCAAAGTCAATTAAACTTACTCCTAAAATTTCTGTCGACAGCCCGAACAAAGATCGAAAAGCTCCACAGTTTATCAACACGAACAAACTTGAGCTCTTCTTAAAAATCTGAATCGCAGCCTCCAACTCCACCCAGTCTTTGATAACAACCAAAGAGTACATTACCTCATCTCTTTCGAATAAATCCTAAACTTCAAATAAAAAACATGTAAAATAACCTACTGTTAATATCACTGTTGTGCATAAGGCATCCAGGTCGTGGTTTGATATTATTATCACATTTTTCTGAAACATCAAAGATTAGATATATATAGCATAACATAAAACTTTATTTGTAATGGAAAACTTTAAAATACCATATTTAAAATAACCGAACAACAATTAACTAACTGATTACAAGATAAGAAGCCCAAAATTACCTGTTTCGACTCCAATATCTTCTTATAAAAGTTGTTTTTAAGATCTTCATGAATAAGCATTCGCCCCGTCTGCTCTTAGAACCCACTCCTGAAATTCAAATAAAGGATTAGGTTATGTAAAAAATAGTTTATAATATTCGTAACATTTTCTCCTAACTTTACTATCTCGCGCAATCGCCCGATTTTCATTTTGTTCCGTTCTATTCGCGCCAAATAATAATTTCCGTCGAGCATTTCATTTGGTTCCGCGGCGAAAACGCTAAAGGCCTCTGGCATCGTGTTACAAGGCAAGTTTTTCGTCGGTCTCGAGAGAAAAGTCGGTAAACTTGTATTCTTACTGAATTTTGTGAGTTATCCTTTAATTTTATATTTTTTAATGTTTATTCTAAATTTATTTTATTGGTTTTTACGTTCATTTATGTTGTTTTGTGTATAATCGATGAATAAAGAGTTTACAAAGTATTTTCAGCCATAATGGTCGTCGGTAAGATTGTTGATCTGGCTAAATTCACCGGCGGAACCATCAAGGGCGCTGCTCTTGTCTTGGCTCGTCCAAGTGATCCTATCCCGGAGACCAAATTGCACCCAAGAATGCCAGCTCGTCCATTCACCACTCCTGAATGGGTAAGTTGTTCAAGTTCTTTGCTTTTATGTTTTAGGTCGTACAATACCTTGGGTGTACCGGCGAGGAGTTTTGAGGCGTAATTCGAAATTAATTAAGTGTTATTTTTGTATTTTTTACAATAAGTTCCGTATAGTTTTTGAGGATCATAATTCCGCTTTTAAAGAGGTTAGGCGTCCATATCATTTTTGCCATAACTTTCTTCAAAAGCTAGGTAAACATCTGAAAATCTACTCAATTGTAGATCATTCTTGTGTTTAACTACTACAAGCATATTAATCTCTAAATTCACGCTTATCTTTATGTTATTGTATTTTAAAGATTCACCTTTAAAATTTTTAAAGCTGCATGTTTTGCGTTGTAAGAATCTTTATTTTTTTTATTTTTTACAGTTACAAATAATTATAAAAAATAAATTTTCAGCTCCGTATGCTTTCATGGCGTCACATCTGGCAAAAGATCCCAATTGCTCGTTTCTACGTCTTCTCTGCCCTCATCGTCTTTGGTGTATTCAAGTTCTTGGTTCCCAGTAAGTTTTGTGTTTTTAAAAGGCCTTTGTAATTAACGGTTTTTTTAATTTAAACCTTTAAACATATACGATATGAGGTAAATATTGTATACAGGGCCGGGCGGGGACTTTTGGTCTGGGGGCAGGGGTCCAAAAAATCGGCACAGGTACTACCTGTGCCGATTTTTTGCGAAAATTTTTTTTTCAAAAATCCACAGGGGGGACCACGTTCAAATTTTTTCGAAAATTTTTTTTCTGGGGGGGGGGTCCCCCCGCCCCCCCCCCCCGTCGCGCCCGGCCCTGATTGTATAGACACTAAATTCTGTTTTTTGAAAAAAAAATTAAAGTTTTAATTATTTGCAACATGCTAATGTTAAAGCTTCAATTTTTTTAAATTTTTTAATGATTTTTTTTTGTTAATTATTGCCTAAAGAAACCTAAACAATGTATTTTCTTCAATTCTAACCAATATTCCTTTCAGTCAAGCCCCGCCACGTTATCATGTACAAGACGGGTAAGGAAGACGGTCACCATCACGAGGTCGAGCACTGGTACGGTGTCAGACAGAAGAAGCAAGACGCTTTGTACTGGGCCAAGTACGATCCCTTCCGTGTTGAGGGAGCTGCCGCCGTTGGTGGACATTAGATGAGATATCTACATTAATAGAGTTGAATCTTTTTTTGAAAATAAAAGGATTAGTTTAATGATTGGGTACTTTTGCTATCTTCCTTTAATTCTAAGGTATATTTTTGGTTTCTCCGGCTTCTCAATTTGAGCTTAATATGTATTTACTTGTTATTTTTGGTACCTCTGTATTATTAGGAGACTAAACATACAATAACTTAAGATCATATAACTTATAGTTTGATTAAAAACTAAAAGTGACGTGATTTTAAATATTAAGCTATAAATATAAATGATTTGTCATCGTTTATTCCGTTTTCTGTATCTCTATTGTCTCACCGTGCTCCGACAGATGTACAAACACAGAGTGGGCATTGAAATATTGCGTTAATATCTGCATTTTTATGCATTTCCGTCATTTTTAAGGGCGATTTTCAAAATTTTAAGCTGTTTTTGGATACTTTTTGATAGCTATTCAAAGGACAGTTAGTTTTTTACTGATAAATTAGATTTTCTGGGTACTAACAAGCCTGAAGAAGCAATTTGTTATCCAAAATACTAACTTAATCTACCTAAGGCATCCATTTTATTGTCTCATAGGACCTTACTCATCATTTTTTATTGATAATACCCATCAATACCTTTTTAAACTCATAACTGGACCTAAAAATGAATTCTTGGTTGCTACAGTACTTCATATTATTAAAAATTACAGTATTAAGTGTGATGACAATATCGGATGAGATTTTGCCAGACTTATCAATGACAAACTTAAATACGACTCATGTTATACACAAGAGGCAGATTTACTACCTTTGTGGCACTTATCCTAGACAGTACTATTCATTGTATCGTAAGTGTAATACTGTGTTGAAGTTGGAGTAAGGTAGAGTAGAATAGGTAATGGTGTAGGGTAGGGAAAGATAGGGTAGGGTGGGGCAGGATATGGTAGAATAGGTTAGGATAAGATAGGGTAAGGTAAGATAGGATAGACAGAAACTTAATGCCATTCCACTTCAGCATGCTACATAAATGGTGACAGTACATGTTCAAATGGTGGTCGAAAGCTTGGTGTAGGATGTACGATAGCCAACCAATGTGTAGCGTATCATTCCGGCCCAGTAACCTGCATTCAAGGATGTTGTTGTACCGTCCAATCAACACCACATAGAGATGATACTGGACCTGATGGGTTTGGTAGGTTATTGCTATTTCTTTTGTGTTATATCAACATAAAAAACTCGCCATTTTAAAAAATAACCACTTTTTAAACAGACTCCTTTCCTCTATTAACTATGAGCTTACAGTTTGTACTAAAGCGGTAACTATAGACTGATATTTAATATTACTATGTATGTTAGCTATGTAGGTAGTATATACTAATAATTCATGTTAAGGTAAATGCCAAAACGGTCAATTAAGCAAAGTCAGATGTGCTCTCCAGGAACATTGTCAACAAGGTCAACGTTGTCTGAATGGACTATGTTGTACTCAAACACAAGATGAATATAAAAGTAAGTCCCTACCCCAACCTGCCTCCTCTACCCTAACGTTTACCACGCTAACCCACCCTACCCTACTCTTCGTACCCTACACTACTTACACTACCCTACCTTACCCTACTCTACGCAAAACGGAAAAAAATTGTATTTTATGCTTAAACTTTCAATTTTCAGCTGCCTGTGGCGGTGATTTTGCTGTCGCAGATTGTTCAACTACAAAACAGTGCAGTCAAGGTTATGTTTGTGCTAGCAATAACTATTGCTGTCAATGTGCAGTTGGCAAAAGTGTTGGACGATGTAATCAGGTGAGCAATATAGTCAACGAATTCTAGATACATAATATGGCAAGAGAAGCGTATTTTAAAAATTAGTACTAGCTAGCACAGTTTTAATAATACTATGTAGTATTGTTTTAACTAACAAGTACTGTGTTATTAATACTATCTAGTACTGAGATTGGTCTCCAAAATAAAAAAAATCATTTTTAGGGCCTATGTCCACAAGGCTATACCTGTATGGAGAATGGGTGGTGTTGTGCGTCTTGTCCTAACAACGTAACCCCTTATGGGGCTTGTACAAATAACACTTGTGGGGGTGGTCGGCAATGCTCAACGGGAAACATTTGTTGTTAAAACTTTGATTCTTACTGTAATAAAGTGAATTTTTATTCGAAGTTACGTACCCTACCCTATTCTAGCCTACCCTACCTACCCTCCCTACCGTATCCTACCTTACCATAACCCAAGCTTCTGACAACTGAACATAACTTCAATTGTAATGGTAAAATAGAAGATTTACTCGTTATCTCTTTCATGAAATACAGTATAATTAATGACAGTAATACTTTACATTATTCATTCCAACCTCAAGGTAACACCTTTAGGGCATTTATCTGTCAAAGCCTTCTTCTTGGCGGCAGATAAGGGATTGTCGTGTAGATTTACTTGTTTTAGGTTAGGGAAAGCTTTGAAAAACTTTTCCGCATCAATATCTACAATTTTTGTTGATTATGGTTACTGTAATTTATTGTTTTGGAGATTACTGTGAGTTAGTGTTTTTTATATTTTCTATAACTTTTGATGATAAGTTTTACAGTAAATTAAAATCTTTTGTTGCTGAGAACACGATTCTTTATTTTTTGTTGTCGTATTGTACCAAAAGTTCTTGGAAAGGTTGCACGGTGCAGTAAAACTAATATTTTTGCACCGTGCAACAAGTTTTTTTTTCAATTTTTCCAAAATTCGGTAAACAAACCTATACTTTTTTAGTCTCATCATATAAAAAACAATATAAAAACCATCATATTAAATTTTAAAGCCCTACCTTCAATGCCATTCCCACTCAAATCAAGTAAAACCAAATTGTGAAGCTCCAGAAAGGTGTCAGGGACAGTTTTGATTTGATTTTTGGCCAAATTAATTCCTTTCATTGTATCTTTCCAACCAACAATTTCATCTGCAATCTCGTCAATCTTGTTTCCTTCCAGGTTTAGTACTGAAAATGGCAGGATTAGCTACAAAACTTTAAGAAAAGTTGAAAAAATAGAAAATTTTGAGAAAAAATTGAAGAAGCTCTGCCAAAACCGACTGAAATGGCTTTGAAAATAGCAGAAATGATATAGAGGTTGCTGTATCTACATTGGAATTCTCCAAGTTTTAAAACCCCTAAAACATTGATTACCTTCCAATTCCGGCAGTCGAATGACCATTTTCTTCGGAAATTTCTTCAAATCGTTCCCTTTCAAACTGCATTTCGTGATTTCGTACTCTTTGAGCACCAAGTAAATAGCATCGGTTATGTACATCAAATTACAATCTTGAAGATCCAGGAATCCGGAAGATTTGGCTGCTTCACATCTGGCCATAACTTGGGTTACACCTTGACCAGCATTAGTCCACGCCGAAGTCATTGATTGTTGTTGGGGCTTCATCTTGGTACTGAAAGAAGGAGAATGATGGTATTGAAAAATGGTGCGTTTTTGTAATATTATAGGTATGGAAGAAATGCCAAAAAGTCAAAAAAGGTTTTGCACGGTGCAATATTTTACGACTGCACGGTGCAATATTTGAAAAACACGCCGTGGAGCCAGTTCGAAAAATTTGGAAAACTTTTTGTAAAAAGTATAAAAATTTATTTTATTTCGAAGTTTTATATACTATTTTTAAAATGCTAGTACATTTAATTACCGAATTTCAAAAGCTTTTAATTTTTGCACCGTGCAATTCATCCCAAAACTTTCAAATCGCTAAAACAATCATTTTTCGCAAAAATTTTTAAAAAATAGCCAAGTAAGATCAGTGTGAAAATCCAAGTTTTTTAAGTGTAAAACAAACCCAGGACACCTTCTTTAATTCGCGGATCAACAAGAAAAACAAACTAAAAAAGAGCCGAGATAAAAGAGCAGTTGGCCGATCCGAATCCCTCTGATCTTGTCCTATGTCCTCAAAACCCATTTTTTTCTAAAAGCCCACGCAACATATTTGTTTTCCTGATAAATAATAACAAAACCGTTTAGAAATGGCAAAAAATGGTTTTGAAATTCAAAAAAATCTTTTCAAAACAGAAAATCAGTTATACCTAATATAACATCGACAATATTACCCTCCTTTCACATATATTTTACTTATAAAGTATTTAACCTTCAAGCATTTACCTTTAAAAACAATTACTATATTATACATTAACAAAAAGATTAAATTTATTCAAACAAATCATCTTGGATTTGAAATCCACTAATACAATAACAAACTGTAAGTCAATTATTAATGTATAAAACCCTTGTCAGTTAGTAGTAAGACTATAACCATAGTAAAAGATCAGGTAAAGCTATAAAATGAAAAAAATAAAGTTAATAAATAAGATTATACCCAAATTTGGCCAAAAAATAAAGAAAACATTCAAAAAGATAAGCCAACGAAAGACGGAAAGTAGCTGAAATAGCCAAAAAATTAAGAAAAGATAAGAAAATATAGCCAGAAATCAGAAAACGGATAAAAAGATATCGCAATTTGGCAAAAAGTAGAAAAAAACATTGAAAAACTGCCAAAAATAGAATAAAATAAAAAAATTTTAAAAATTTTTGCTTTTCTGGCCAATATCTATTCGAAAAACCCTTCTTAATTAACACAAACATTCATGCCCTGAACTTCACGACAACTACCAAACTTGTAACAATCCTTATCTAGACACAATCGTTCGCTACCTCCCAAGAACATGTTGATAAACCCGGTGGCACGGCAATTCTTGTAGAACTTCTCGGCGCAGAACAAGTTGTAATGAAGAACGATTTGTTGGCCAGTGAGTTGGGTCTCATTCTTTAAGAGTTCAGACTTCAATGGCTTGGTGCAGGTGCCAGAAGGAATCTCGAAAAAGGTTTTGTCCTCCAGATGAGGCAAAGTTCCATTCAAAAGTCTAGTGACGTTTAACAATTGAGTTTCAGCTGAAGATTCATAAGCTTTCTTCACCTTATGAAGCACATCGTAGCAGGTTTGAGTGTTTTCATTCTCATCACAAAAGTGGCGGTGCTTATAGCGGAGAGTTTCGGCCAAAATCGTATAGTTCACGAATGATGGGTATACCTAAAACAATATCGATTAGACACATTTGAAAATAAACAAACTAGAATACAATTTTTAACAAATAACAAAATCAATAAACTAAATGTTATATTAACAATTTTTCTTAATTAAAACTTCCTGTTTTTCAATTATAAAGAAGATAAAGACATTATAGTAGATCACCTATGTATGCCAACGGAAATCTCAACTTTATAACTCAAAAAGCTAATAAATCGTCAATTTTCTGACTAAAATAATAAAAAACCTAATAGAAAAGCTTTTTATGATAAAAATTCCAATATCTAATAACCTAAACATCAAAAAACTAACGGTGATACCTACACCTCTTCTAAAACAATATCCACCTCAACTTCCTCAAAATTTTCCAAATAATTAAAGAATTACCACAATGCCAAAGCTGTCGAACACTTCCTTCAACAAAAATCTAAATCGTTCTCGTTCCAACAACAACAACCTGTCGATAACTGACTTGAATCCTCCATCTTCAACTTGTTTGCTCAACTCGCCGTCGATGAAGGCAGTTGGTTGATACGTATCCAATCCAACAACAACCTCCAGCTTCCTCGACGCCAGTTCATGTTCGAACACGTAGTTTGCTTTCTCCGTACAAGTCTCAGCCCCACATTGGCGAAGAATCACGAAAAGAGCGATGAACTTGAGGAACCACATTCTTCTAACACAATATCGAGTCGAATGAATAAAAATTAGTAGATCTGAATGAATATTAAGATTTGGCGTTAGTTTGTGGCTTAATACAGAGGTTGGAGTCCTCCGCCCACTTTGTAGATGACTTGCCCAAAGGTAACGACAAGTTTTCGTCGATCGACGAAAAGAAAAAAGGTGCACGGCGACAAATTATACGATGGAAATTGCATGAATAAACAATGTTTATGCATGAATTTGGACTGTGAGATTGAGAGATTGATATATTTGTTATCATATTTGGTAACGTAAGTTCAAGAATTTTTAAAAATTGTTTTTTCCATATTCTTCTAGTTTGTATATAATTAACAACTGTTATTGTTACAGTAATTTAATTGTAACTCAAGAAGTAATAGTTAGAATACCTGAGATTTTACTCAAATGTTGCTTCTAATAGTGTCTTTGATTTCCTACAACCAATTTTTTAATATTTTGTTTCAAAGTTGTATAATAACAATTTATCTTGTAAAGGTTTATATTTATGCACTTTGCAAATTATTTTGCTGTAACTCAAAAAGTAATAGTGAAAAAAACTTGAAATTTTTTAAAAAGTTTGTTGTAGTATTGTTTTTAATACCTGATAAATAATGTTTGTAATTGTTGTTTCAAAAATATTAGATTACGTGTGTTACACTGTCTTACCTTCTCTATAAGCCATGTATACGCTGATGAATATTTTCCACGGTAGACGCTATTTACTTTGGGTGTTTTGCACTTTATAAGATTACTATGGGCTATTTGGAAGATTACCTTGAGTTCACTTGACGAACGCCAGTAAAGAGGAGACCATTATTACAAGTCGAACATTGACTTGTAATAAGGGTCTTTGATACAGAAAACAGTATATGTCTCTAACACAGAACACACATTACCATATAATTAATAAAAATTTATTTTTATGATTTTAACACAAAAATTTTGTCATCTTACTGTAACTTCGTCAACTTTCAATAAATTCTCTACCGTAGCTATGGACTTACCCTTAAACTCTTAACCCTAGCCCTATTCATAGCTTTAGTTTTGGAATTAACTTAATACGTCCTTCTAGGTACTCGCCAATATATTCATTAATGCTTTGATTGGCATAAAAATATCTTTAAAACTGAAGGCATTAAACTTTAATCATCCTCTGTAGTTGTCTGCGACTTATACATGTGTATCTTCTCGGCTTTAGGATCCATTTTAAATAATAGGTAGGATTTCATGGTGTAACGCCAATAATTTTCAGTTTTATTATTTTTTAGAAACTCCAAAAGATATAATAAAGACATGGAACGGGAGGAGAGGGAAAGGTAGAAATACTTTTGGTAGCGGGACCTTCGACTAGGTTTGAACGCAAAGAATGGCATTAAAGAGCCTGCGCGTCCTGCCATGTCATAATATTGCAGCTCTATACGTTGCTCCATTCTTTATACAGAGGGGGGTCAAGCCTAACTTTTTAATTTTAAAACCACATATTTTTATAATAATAACTTACATATACTACTATATATTATATATATTATGATTATACTACTTATATATTATGACTTTTTTATTTGAACGCTAGTTAAATCTATTATTGGTAAAGCTTTTTAACAATTCCGTTTCGTTTTAAGCCAATAGAACTTTTAAAAAATTTCGGAAAAATTTACACTTACTGTTGTAAGCCCCGCCTTCTTTAAAGCATCCGAAGGAATTGAAGTAAAGAGTTAGTTGGAATTTGATTGAAGTAAACCACAAGTAGGGATCGTAGATATGTACAATAAACTTGTATAGAACTTGTATAGAACTAGAAATGGGCCATTATTTTACTCTGTACTATACTTGTTTTTTGAATGTTACTTATATACTACTGTTTATGTTACCATATGGTGTGTCGATATATTATTGAAAACGTATAGTTTTGAAAATGTCTTCAGTATAATTTATTATTATATATTTTCCACTCTTGCGAGGCGGTTTCTCAAAATGTCTTATTGCGCAAAAAACGCTGACATTTTTTGCTGCGTATATAAAGTCTGTACGTACCAATGAAATCACAGTCTTACATATAGTCATATTTGTATATTTACTACTTTGATTACGAATATGGAAAACGTGCAAGGTGAAAACGAACAAGTTGTCATTAAACTGCCGTCAGACCGCAGTCAACTAACAGTCACTGTCTCATTATAAACGTGGAGCGTACTCTTCCATACAATCTCAGTGGCGGAGAAGCACGTAAGGATTAATAGACAGTACCAAACATTGAAAAACTAGGAATAAAATTGCCGATAGGTGAGGGGCCACGCTTATATTTGTAAATCGTCTCGTGGCCCGGTTGCAATTAACTCCAGCTCGCAATCCGTGAACTAAGATCCCTTATCAACACGTGTGGTGGTTGAATGTCTACAACTATGAATGACCCTACAAACTGACTATGAAATTTATGCCTATCCATTACATTATAGGTTTCTTTTTTTTTGTTTTACAGTAAGTTACGGCCCATAGGTATCAACCCGTACGAAATTTACGATTGGTTATTAAAACAACCGCCAGGAATCGTGGACAGAATTGACTGCGAAATGAGCCTTGAGCAGTCGCCGCTCGACACGTACGAACTCATGATAAAACGCCAACCAAACCGCCGCTTACTTATCAGAAAGCTTCAGAACTGCCGAGCATTCAGACGATCGTCGTAGTTAGTTTCGCTTTGTTGTATGCCTAAAGGACAGACGTGTCTTTTAGGAGGCTCTTCAATAAAGTTAAAGAACTAATGTGTGGCATGATAATTCGATAGTTAATATGCTCTGTAGGACAAAGGGTAGGATATAAAAGTCCCCCGCTACATAACGGAGGTCTCACCGAGAAATCATAGGAAAGATTGGAAATTTACAGAAAAGCCAACCAAACCATAGTACGCATAAACGTCACGAGCGCAGACGAAGCCGTTTTAGTATCCAACTTTCCAAGATACAGTATTAAGAACGAAGGTGCGCCAAACGACGTAGGATTGCAGAATCAGGTCGCCTTATTTAACATCAATCCATTCCAGTTACGACATTGACGCTGACACTATGGGTGCGATCATGGATTCCGCTCAAGCCATCAGGATGGTAGGAATATTCCACTTCACGCCCGACGTGTTAGTAAAAACAAAAAAAACTTGAACACATTAATATGTATTTCAAAAGGTTTAAGAAAAACAACGTCGAAAAAATTCGATTCAGTTTCCCGAACGATTACCAACTTGGCTACGAACACGATTACGCCACCGATCTCACCCCGATACTTGACAACACGATACCATCTGTGCATGGATTCTATATCATCAGAGTTATAGGACACAAATTATACACAGTTGTTTTTGAAATCGTGAGACCTGTTAGAGTTATGGATTCTCTTTTAAAATTTTTTGAAATATTTTGTCTCGGGGCGGGTATTACGTTAGGGGAATATTTTGTGACCCCGCCTTCTTTTTCGTTTTACAGTAAGTTACCGTACCGTATTCTATTACAGAACAACATGAGTTTGGAGCAAATCTTAAGACAACTTCGAGAACGACCCCTATACTCTAGGGTGCAAACGGCTACCGTCGTTATCACGGAAAGCCCCATCACCGAAGAAGGCCAAAGAACGGCCGCCACATACCTTTATCAACTCCAGCGGCTCACGGATTTTTCAGCTTCTGAAGTCCAACATCCGTGCCCCAACGTGGTCTTCTGGTCGCGACGGGAAGACCTGCGTGAGATCGAGGAATTAAGGTCACGTGGCCTGCTACCCGTTCTTTTCCTATTGCATAAGGGTACGGACACCCTCCTAAGATGTTTTGGCTTTTACCGCCATTGCGTCTTCGGGGATGTGTCGGGTCGGCGTTACCTAAGTCACCGCGGACGCAATGTCAACGACCTGGGATATCACGCGGGGCTCACCTGGCCAGAGAAGGCACTGAGCCAATTGTGTGGATTGCCACCTCAACTGCCAGGGTAAGCCTAAGTTTTTTTTTGCGCACTCTCACTTTCAGTCATTTATGTAGAGATTTGCTGTAATTTCTTAGCTTTTTTTTCAAGAAAACTTTAATTTACAACAAAATTCTTTCAGTGAGCTCCGCGTGTTCTTTGGCGGCGAAGCGTAAGGTCCGTGCAATCAACCCGATCCCAACAACAAGTCCGATCTAACCAAGCCAACCGCCCTCATATTGGTAAATTAACTAATTCTTTTTCTTATTATTTTTACCTTATATAATCAATTAATTATTATTATTTTTCGTATGAAAGTTCAAAAGAGGATTATTATTATCGCGACATTGGCCCAATTCTCTTGGCAATTTGAAGCCTTAAAGATTTAATACACGATAAGCCTTTTAAACACGCGGGGTACTGTAAAAAAATTTTAAATTTCAAAAATAGGATAAACTGGTTTGATCTAAAATAAGGGACGTAAAATTTGCGCAACACCGGACACTGAACCCAATCTAAAAATGGAACATACCGACTAAGTTACATTCCATGTTACTTAACAACAATCTAATAAACTAATTGTACTGTAAAAAGATGTAAATCAATCCAATAAACTAATCATATTGTAAAAAATTTGTAAATCAATTCAAAAAACATTTTTTATTACAAAATATTAAATAGGTGTTCAAACAATTACGCAATCGCTGTCAATTCGGAGATTAACAAAAACAAAGTCATCATCTCGATCCTTGCCGGTTCTCTTGGTATCTTTCGCACCCTTCTTCTTGTCAGCCTGGGCCTTCTTCTTGGCATTTTCGTCAGCCTTCTTCTTGGTATCTACAGTATCTTTAGCAGCTTGTGAGGAGTTGTGCTGGTGTTCTTGTTGTTCGAGCAAGAGATGCGTTCTAAAGCCAGTGAGTCGTCTTGGCAGGCTTTTCAAAGGCACATCAGCAAATGGATCAGCGTCGGACGATGAGTATCGCATGATATGTTTGATCTAAAAAGCAATACAATATAAATTCCAAAAAGCAATTTTACATAATACGGTTCTCGAACATACAATAAGTTTCTAATTATGACAAACGATACTTTATTGCCGTATACCCATCACCGTCTTATTGCGTAAACAGAAAATTTCAAATCTACTGGCGACCTGTCGGCTTTAGCACACCAATATTGCCACAACAGTCATTTGAGACTGCGTCTATATGGCAGGCACAGGTAATGCCACAGTTTTATTATATTGTTTTAATTTTTTTGTTAAAAAAGTTTTGGTTCTTACAAGGTTTTTTTCAGAATGGCTAGTCCGATGTTTATTCGGTCGAACTGGCGACAGAGGAACCAAAAAAAATTTACCGCGCACGAAGAATCCAGGTCCGCCCGAGGTGGACAATCAGGAAAATAGAGATGCGATACGCGATCACGCTTACTTCCACAAGGAGATATGTATATCTATTTGTGGAATCTATAAACTGTGATAATATATGGTTATTAAGAGTACCCAAAAAACGACTCCCCAAACTGAGAAACGAAGAAATCGTCTTCGTATGTAAGTTTTTTTAAACATTTTGTATTCTTTATAACTAATCTACATTCTTCTTTAAATATTAGCTTATTGTTAGAGTTTTGTATTAAGTTCTAAATATTGCAGCATGAGCACCAAAAGCAGACTTTCCAACACCCAAGCCCACCACACCTCACCGCCAAGCCGAGCCCAGCCCACCTCACCGCCAAGCCCAGCCGAGCCCAGCCCACCTCACCGCCAAGCCCAGCTGAGCCCAGCACTGTAGCCCACCCATCTCAAGTTTTTTTTATGGGTCAAGCATATGTAAATATTTTTAATTTTAAAACCACACATTTTTATAATAATAACTTACATATACTATTATATATTACTTATATGTTATGAACTTTTTTTTGTTTGAACCTTAATGACATCTGTTATTGGTATAGCTTTTAAACAATTCCATTTTGTTTTAAGTTAATAGAAATTTTTAAAAGTTTTGAAAAGATCTACACTTACCGTACTATACTTGTCTTTTAATGTTACTTATATACTACTGTTTATATTACAATATAGTGTGTTGATTTATTATCGAAAACGTTTTGAAAATATTTTCAGTATAATTAATTAATTATGTTCTGGGTGTTCTTTACCCACAGGCACTTTAATTAAAGGTCTAATATAAAAGATAAAGAAACACGCGCAGGTGGATGGATGGACGTATCTATCCAGAGCCTCCTCGATCAATAAACATGTAAAACGAAATTAGTAAGTTTGGACTATATAAAGATGGGCTGCTCTGGTAAAAAAGACAACAGGTCGCAGATTACTACACTCTATTTTACCTTAAAATATGGAGGTCTCACCGAGATTGGTTCAGCTTGAAAAGATGGATCCGCTTCCAAACGCGAGCGAATTGAGCTAAGCGGCATGTATCTCGATTGTATCCCGATATTCCAATTCGTAGACAGAGAAACGGGCGGGCCGGATCAATTTTCAGGCCATATATGTTAGGCCCTGTTCGATTGAAATTTTGCTTAAGGTCGGCCCGACAGGTCTTAAGACCAAATTTTCATTTTCCAAAGAAAGACAGGGGACGTAGTTTGACAACACGATGTTTTTTATGGCATCCGTAGCGATGAGGTGGGACCTCGAAAACGTCAAGTTCGGCTGCTTTAGCGGGGATGACTCAGTGCTCGTAGTCGCAAAAATATGGGTCATGGTAAAAAATTTGAACTATCTAACTATAACGTTCAATTTAGAAGCTAAGTACGTAGAATCAAAATTCGGCTATTTTTGTAGTTGCTTCATTTTAAGTCTGCTCGACAAATCCACAGTCATCGTGCCAGACTGTCTCGAACTCTTCGTTAGACTGGGACGAAACGTAATAAACAATGAAGCTCACCGCGAAGAATATAGGATTGCTTTGATGGACTCCCTCTATAAATTCAAGGACTTTGCAGTCTGCATCACCGTAGTCTTTTCAACCCTTTCAAATGATAAGTATTTTTAGAAATTGTAAGAAGATATAGTACCAGTTGGTTAGTATTACGGTAAACACAAAATCGGTAGAGTAAAGAGACCCGCCCACTTGGTGTATGCTAAAGGCTCGTTCTAAATTGAGAAGATATATTTGTTATCATATTTAGTAAGGGTCGGAAGGTCTGGACGCGGTTCCGTCCCTCTCTTTGTACTTTGATATATGTATGTCTGATGTTCCCTTCGCGGGAATTACACCTATTGGCGTAATTAGGAATCAATAAACTTGGTAATATAAAAGACTTGGGTCAACTTTTAACTGTAGGTAAAATAGCCTTAAATAGTGTTTTACTCGCCCTTCCTCCCAATATAACGGAGGTCTCACCCTCTAGCTTGACGTAAGCGATTTTTTTTCACCTAAAACTCTCAAGCTAGACTGTCTCATTATAAACGTCAAACGTGCTCTTTTAGTCATTTCTGCAGCTGCTGCGAAACACGTAAGGACTACTAAACAGTACCAAACATCGAAAAACTAGGAATAAAATTGCCGCTAGTTAGGTTAGACGGCCAAAAAACAACAAACGCTGACATTTTTTACAGATTGTACAGATTCTGACGTACCAATGAAATCACAGTCTTACATAGAGTCATATTTGTGTATTTACTACTTTGTTTACGAATATGGAAAACGTACAAGCTGAAAATGAACAGGTTGTCATTGAACTACCGTCAGACCACACACAATTACCACCCCAAGGGTCGTGGGCCTTTTACAAGGCTCTTAAATATTTATTTTGTGTTACTTGTGTATATAATAGGCATTTAAAGAAATGTCCAGCCGCCGGTGACAATCCTGGAAAAAGGAAAAAAGTTTGGTATGAAACTGCTACGATCAGAGCTAATTCGTCAGCGACCTCTGAGGGCCCGTGTACCCATCCTACACGTCTTGTTGATGAACAGCAACAGTTTGTCGATGGGCTATTATGCCGAGGTAGCAAGTCGCCACCTCGTCACACTTCTTCAACGAATCTTGCGTAACCGAGCCCAACACGGTGTATTTGCTAGAGCCGGCGGACGTGGAGATGGTACTGGAGGTACCCACACGAGGAGTCGTTGTTTTCTTTTAGAAAACAACATGAGTGTTGAGCAAATCCTAAAACAGCTTCGGGAACGACCACTCTACTCTTGGGTGCAACAAGTAGTAATTATCATCACGTAACACGAAATCTCCGAAGAAAACCGAGCAACAGCCGCCAAATATCTGTACCAACTCCAGAAGTTTTGTGATTTTTCTCACACAGAAAACCAGCGTCGTAGCTCAAACGTCGTATTTGTATCTTCAATGCGAACCCTAGGAGAGACTCATGAGATACTGTCACGTGGTTCTGCCTGTGTTGGTTATGCCGGGCAAAGATACGGAAACTCTCCTGAGAGGCTTCAGCTGTCTTCGCCGGTGCGTTTTTACAGAATTAGAAACTTGCAAATACTTAACACACACCGGCAGAGATTCTTACGAACTGGATTATCACACATGGCTCAGCTGGCCGGAAAAAGCCCTTCGCCACTTGTGTGGACTGCCATCGCAACTGCCAAATAATTTGACCGTAACAGATGGACTATGTTATAACTAGTGCTATATGTTGCTACTGTTAGTTGTTGTTTTAGTTATATTTGTTGCTAAAATAAATATTTCATTAACAACCGTGTAACAGAACTTTTGGCGCACCTTGTAATTTTATTTTTTTAGAAATATGCTTGGAACCAAAACGCTACAATCTCTTGCAGTGGAATTAATATGTTTTATTATTGGTGTAATTGCCGAACACATCTTCAACAACTTCATCAAAAGCATCATCTAACGCCTGATTACGATAAGAGAAGAAAACACAAAAATATTAGGGGTCTTAACTATAAACCACAAGATTTTTACATTTTTTTGGAAATAAATATTATTTGACTCAATTTTTTTATTTGGTAGCGTGTTGAAAATTTAAAAAAAAGATTGAAAAACAGGAAAAGTTTGATTCCGCTTGAAAAATGGCCGTTTTTTGGATTTTTAAAAAATCGTTACTCGTTTAGTAAAAGAGATTAAATAATGAAACTTACAGAATATGTACAACTTTTTATGATCTACAAAACGTACATCATTGATTTTTGAAAAAAAGTTATACACATAGCTGAAAAATAGGAATACGGTAGAATTACTGTAACTTTTCAAAATTAACAAATTTAAAAATTATTGTTTGTGAGTTTGTTGTATGAAAGACCAAGCTAAAATCGCAAAAATTTTTGGTTTTTAACATCTTTTTAAAAAAGTTATGCTTAAAACAAATAGGTTCACTATTTTTTGACAACGGCTGTACATTAGTTGAATTGTCACATATAATTAATTAAATATGCTTACCGACTTTTATTTTACATTTCTAAAGTTACCATGGAAGAACGAGCAATGTGCATTTTTAAAATTACAAAATAAGCTTAACATTGCAGCATTAACAGCCCTATTAATTTTCAAGACATGAGTAGTACCGCCTTAATAATAAAATCGTCATAAATCACATAGCGGTTTATTCAACAATATTATAAGTGGTGGGTTGTCCAATCAAATAATTAAACTTATTACAAGGGTATTATACGAAATAACAGTATATACGGTTGGGGAGGGGAGAGGAAGAGATGAGGTCAGGTTATAATATTAAAATGAATTCGTATTTCATTCGATTCGCACTCTTTTCGTGTAGGTGGGGTGTGGTAGAGAGGAGGGAGCGGCGACGCGTTGGAAGCCGGCTGGTGGGGTTTTGATGGCGTGGATGGGCATGGGTGGGTTGAGGCGGCCTTCCTGCAGCCATCGGACTTGGGTGGCGGGACCGTATCCCTAAAAAGTGGTTTGATTAGAGACTGTGGTTACAGTAAGCAGTGTAATAGACTCGGCTAAATATATTTCTCACCTACCCTTAAAAGTTTTTTTTTCAAAAAAAAATCCACCCCAAAAAATTTCTCACCCTGCCCAAAATTTTTCCAACGCCCCTTCTCCCAACTTGTAAAAACTTTCATTTTTCCTGTCACCTTCAAATAAAACGACGCCTTACCTTCTCATTTCTAGCCGCAATACGGAAGATGAATGCCGGCTTCGGAGTAGAATCCACAAAGGCCTTCTTCAGATTGGCTCCATCTACTCGACACATTGGTTCCGTTCCACTGTATACCTTCAAGAAACTGTTCGTCTCGCCGGCCAGTGAGTTAGTCTTCATAGCCAAGTAGACACTGTACTCGGTGATGGTACCATTTGGTACAGTTGGTGGTTCCCAGCTGAGGTGAGCGCAGCTGTCGCCTTTTGTGATCTTGATCGAAGATGGTGCACCTGGGAAACCTGGTACTCCAGTTTTGTATGAAACCGGTTCTGACCATGGAGTTTGGCCGCAGGCGTTCGAGGCCGAAACTCGGAACTGGTAAATGAAGCCGGCTTCCATTTTGGCGGTTTTTGGGCCTTCTGGCGTGTTGATTGTGTACTCGGTGATTTTGCAAATGGCATTTTTCACTTGGCCAACGTAGCACCATTCCGAGGGCGTGGGTTTTTGGGATGAGATCTGGAATTTTAAATTTCATTTTTTCAAAAAAAATTTTTTTAATACTGAAAACTTCAAAAAATCCAATGTTCTCCCCTTACCTGTAAAGCATTCAGTCCAGCCGACTGTGTCTGTTCTGGAGTCGTGCGTGGTTCAACCACTCCCGAGTCTGTAGTGCCTTCCATTGCAGTGACTTCTGATTCCGGGTTCTGTGGTTTGCTCTGAGAAGTTTCGTCTCGCATTGACACATCACTGGCTTGGGAGTTGGTTGGTTTTGAGATCGGTTCGGAGCCTTCTTCCATTGGTTTTGGCTCATTTTTAAGGGATTCTGAATGATTTTGGAAGTGTTTCTCGTCTTTAAAGCCTTCTGGAGCTGGTTTAAAGTCTCCTGAAGCGCCTTTGAAGCCTTCAGCCTCAGTTTTCAAGCGTTCACCTTCATTTTTAACTCCTTCTCCTTCGTTTTTCAAACCCAAATCCTCTACTTTCATTCCTTCATTCTCTCCTTCCATCTTCATGTCTTGACTAGAGCTTTGTTGAGGTTCGTTATCAAGTGAAATATTAGCCGGATCGACCAGTGCCTGTGGTCGGGATTCGGCTGATAGCGAGATGTCGGCCGGATCCTCGAGTTTTTCGGCCTGAGGCCCTTCTGGTTCCGCATCCTCCAGTATGTTGCTTGGCATCTGAGCGTCGACACTGTTCTGTGGATTCTGGTAGGGTGTGGAGAAGGTTTGTGGTGCGTACGATGGTGCATATTGTTGTTTCTCCGGGGTTGGGTGACCATTGCTGTAGGATCCTGAAGGTGGAGTTTCACGTTGTTGAGGTTGTGCTGTTCTAAAGCCGGGTCGGTTGAAGACTCGACCGTCCGATGTGATTTGACGGTAGGGCAGAGGGCGTGGGTTCGGGGTGAGATTGGGAGGGCTAGCTCCTGGGACATGGACTCTTTTGATCCTTTGCCCGTTTTGTTGGGGCATAGCACGACGTTGAGCTACAAATAATTTTTAAATGTGAAAGACTAAAGATTTTCACCAAAAAATATATAAAAAATTTTCAAAAACTGAAAACACAGCTTATTTTTAGTCCTTTCAAGGCAAAAACCCACCTTGATCATCCGGCCCAATCTTCTTCAACTCCACATGATACAAGTCCGCGTTACAAACTGGCGGCCACGTGATTTCAATCGATGTTAACGTAGCCTTGTTCAACAGGATTTGTCTCGGGACAGTTGGAAGTTGAGTTTCCAGATAGTACAGGTCTTTGCACCACATCAAGTTAGACCCAATGTTTCTAATGCCATCCCTGCCCGACCATACGTAGATTCTGTTGTTCACCACACAAGCTGAATGGCCTGCCCGGCCCAAGGGTTGTCGGTTGTTCTCGTCGACCACAGGCTCCTTGAAGGTTTCCCATGTGTTGGTGAGGACGTTGAAAGAGTGAACATCGTTCGAGCACTTCCAGTCTGGTCTGGATGAGCTTTGTTGGTTAAAGTCGTCAGAAGTTACAGGGACCCAGCCTCCAAAGACGAAGATTCTGAAGAAAAACGTGAGTTTAGACAATATTTACTCAAATAATAGGTGATAAATAAATATAAACACTATTTTAACGTTGAATATTGAGCAAATATAAGTCCTCTGCACCTTCTCCAAATAATATAAACTGCAAAACTACGCATCTTTTACATAAAAACCCTACCTATCCCCGACCAAACTGGCCGAATGCAGTGATCTTGGTCTTGGAATCTGTCCAACTGCCTGAATCTCTCTCCAAGCAAAGTGAATCAAATCAAGAATCCATATATCACCAAGCCTATCTCCATTCATACCTCCGTATATAAACAAGAACTTTTGTTTGTCCGTTTCATATAATGTTGAGGTATGTGACTCCCGAGGACATGGACCATAACCAATCTCAATCTTCTCGTATGCCAACGGTTTGCTTGGATTCATATCAACCATGTATAGGTCGTCCAAGTATCGAATAGAGCCATCCTCGTCTCTGGCCATTCCTCCAAAAATATAAGCGATCCTTTCGTTATCAACATTAAGTGAATGTCCCAACCGGCCACACGGCGGAAGTGCATTATTTCTTGGTGCGCGAATCCTGAGGTTTCGGTACTCCCAACGTCTCGAGTCCAGCTCGTAGAATTGGTCGGAATATCTAGAAAATTAGGTAAAATTATGTTGTAATAGACCGTAAATACCCAAAACGTAAATATCTCAAATAATCGAAACACTAGACTATAAATCTTTACTAAAGTAAAAAATATAGTCTTTCTAAAACATTATACAAGGTTTGAAATCCAAAAATACACTAAGTTAAACTTTTCCACCCAAGAGCTATATTATAGTATCATTCTAAACCCAGCATTCGAATTATCTTTCCCTAAAAAACATAAACTTTACAAAAATCGACTTACTTTTTAGAATTAATCATTCCTCCAAAAATATAAATCTTTTCGCCATCTGAATCCATGCCAAAAGCCGCCAAACCGGGCATTTCTTCTCCCCTCACCACTGGTTTAAACCAGGTATTTTTATTTGCGTTAAACACATACAATTCATTTACAATTCCTTCGTTACCACCACCAAAAACTATCATATATTCGCGAATAGCCACCGCTTTATGTCCATGTCGTGGTCTGAAAGGAGTTAGAGTAATATAAGAAAATATGTTATGTTATCAATAAATAGGTAGAAGTGGTCCTAAAAATCAGTGGATATAACTTTAGAAAATAGCTAATGTTAAGGTTTAAACTCTTAAAGATAGATAATAAACTCTAAAAACTAATAAAATCAAAAACCTTGCATTAATTTTCTTTTTCAACCAAAAAACAAGAAATTCCCAGAGCGTCTACCAATATTAAGCCCTAAAGCAACATCAACCAAAATTAACTTCCAACACTTTAAAATAACGTAAATTTTATTGTCAAAAGCAAGCTTATTCATTTCCGAAACTAATAACATAAAAAACTTTGTTTTACCTAGACTTTCCCACGTAAAGCACCACAATTTTGTGATCATCCACCAAATAAAATCCCTAAAACAAAACCACCCTCAAATCCTTCTCAAACACCTAAAATACAACACAAAAATCAAAATAACTTACAGTGGAGACGGTGGCGCTGCTACGTGAACCTCGCGCCACTTTGCCAACGGACTATCGACCGTTATATCTTCGTTGGCCTCCATTGAGTCATATAAAAAGTAGTGAATCTAAACCGATACAAAAAATTTAATTTCTTGATACAAACACAGTACGGTATAAAATTATTTTTTCGTGTACTCGAATTGTCAATCAAAAATAAAGGCGCGAAACGACGAAAAACGAGAAAATGCTAAAGCGAAACGCCACAAATTTGCGTTAATCAGGGAAATCGTGTCGGGACCAAAGTGAATGTCACATGCTGACGACTATTCGGCTTCATGAAGTCGTAAACAAAACCTGGTAAATAAAACACAAAGATATAAAAAAAGAAAATTGTTGTAAAGTATGTTTTATTTTTTGGTTTAATAAAAAGAAAATATATATTGATCATGTGATTATGATGTATATAACAGTAAAGTTATTTATATCGAAAAACATCGAAAATTGCCAAAACTCAAAATAAATTTTAAAAAATATAAAATGTTATCAATTTACTTTATTGACATGTTAATTGTGTTTACTTCATCTGTATTCTCAACAATTTACATTGCGACTTGTTTGGTATCTTGATAACTTACCATAATATACTTTGTTACTCTGTTTGTTTGTCAAATGTTGAATTGTAATAAACAAGGTTTGGCATTCAATGTTACACTATGCAGGGCTTACAAAAAGAGTAAATTTAAAATTTTACAGCTTTTGAAGCTTATTTTATGAAAGTATTGACTTCTATCAACAGTTTCTTTAGTAAGCCATATCTTTTTTTAAAATTCTGAAAATTTTGTAAAATTTATGAGATAGAAACGTCATAACGTGTCTTATAAACTGAGTAAAGAGTTTTGTGTTTGTCTTGTTTCATAAAGTATTTATGGCAGCTTTAAATTGAACATTTTCAAACATTCATTTTATGCCAAGTTTAAAACTTTTTGTTTTTTTTTAAATTTTAAATACAAAAAAGTACAGTAGTACTAATATCTACAAGTACCGAATAGTCTTGGGAGTTGAGCTGCCAATTATTGAGTTTATTACTTGTTCGTGCCAAAAGTTATTACTGATGAACTAACTTCAATAATGGTTTTTCAATTTTTGGCAAACTTTAAATTATTTTTTTATTTTAAATTTTTAGTTGATGAAAAGTCTTTAAAATTTCTATGGATGAGTAGGTTGTTATCTTAGCTTTCATTATGTCAATTTTCAGATACACTGATATGCTGGGTCAGAAGTTGTGTTCAATAAACAGACATGAGCTCTAACCTTTACATATAAATTTTTGGAAAGCAAAGGGATTTCGATGTGTTTTAAAGCTGAAATTTTGACAAAAGCAGTGTTGTTGGGTATTTTCGATTAGCACTTTATACAAAATGACATTTTCGGAATGTCTATTATAAAATAGCATCTACTAATCTTTTTTGAATTTGAGCGTACCTAACCATCACTTTTTTCATAAAATATTAGCATCCTGATTCTTGATCATTACTCATCAACACTCAATCGCAGTCTGAAGCTTTTAATCTAAAAATCCTCAAAAAACTCTCTCCTTTCGATGACAAATCCACGAGGAATGTCAAGTTTTATTTTACCCGAGTTAATTGCGTAATAAACCGCGAAAGTGACATAATGCGCGATATTATCAACTCCAACATTTTTTGTTATGTTGTCTTGGCTGAGGATAGGAGGGGAGAAGATCTGGCTTTCGTCAACCGGTTCCTTTTTGCAAAAAAACCAGCGTTCAAACGGGATGATGTTTGTTAAAGAATGGCATCCCATCTGTTCGGAAACGGTCGATTTTGGGGGGGGGGTTTGAGGGGGTTTTGGAGGGTTTTTTAGTATTTTTTTAATTTTTGAGGGTTAGAATAGGGTTTTATATTACTTTTTTTAATTTTAATATCTAAAATCAATTTTTTAATACCTAACTTTTTTAAAAAATTTTTTTAATTTAAAAACACGCTAAAAAGTCGTTTTTTAAAATTTTAATACTTAAAAACTTGGCTTAAAATCATTTTTTTCTATTTTTATAGTTTGTGCTTTTACACTTTTTTAAAAAAACTGCCATTTTTTATACTTTAGTGTAAAATACGCCGGCTGAAACTAACATGATGTGTACGACCTTAAAACCTCGAATTTCAGTAATCGCTGCGCGTTATTCGAATACAAAAAAGTAGTGAAAAAAGGTCGTTATATCGGTTGACTACAAAAGCACTTATACGCCTTTTAATTTTACTACTTTGACTGCTTTAACACGAATTCTTTACTTTCTTAGCTACGTTGGCAGCTTTTTATTACTAGCACTAGCCCAGAACTCTAGCCTTGCCCTAGCCTTGCCCTAGTCTTGCCCTAGCCTTGCCTTGCCTTGCCTTGCCTTGCCTTGCCTTGCCTTGCCTTGCCTTGCCTTGCCTTGCCTTGCCTTGCCTTGCCTTGCCTTGCCTTGCCTTGCCTTGCCTTGCCTTGCCTTGCCTTGCCCTAGCCTCGCTCTAGCCTTGCCTTAGCCTTGCCCTAGCCTTGCCTTAGCCTTGCCCTAGCCTTGCCCTAGCCTTGCCCTAGCCTTGCCCTAGCCTTGCCTTAGCCTTGCCCTAGCCTTGCCTTAGCCTTGCCCTAGCCTTGCCCTAGCCTTGCCCTAGCCTTGCCCTAGCCTTGCCCTAGCCTTGCCCTAGCCTTGCCCTAGCCTTGCCCTAGCCTTGCCTTAGCCTTGCCCTAGCCTTGCCCTAGCCTTAGCCTTAGCATCAGTCTTAGCATGAGCCTTAACCTTATCTTTGCCTTAATGTTAGGCTTACTAGAAAATGACTTCCCTAGTTAGCCTACAACGTTTAAGCTACTGAATCAATTCTAATTCACTATACCGCGCCCTGCCCCAGTTTATGAAGTTATTTACCCTACTTTTGTATTTCATTTCCTGTTTGTATGCTTGTCCATCTACATTATGGTGTGATATCTTGAAGCGTGATCTGTTTTCGAAGCAAGTTTTACAACTTTGTTTACTATGTTTTTGCTGGAGAAACTTGTAATTGTTACTTTTACTTTTTATAATGCGCGAAAATCATTCTTTTTGCTGCTTTTTGGACCTTTGAATGGTTTTTCTTTTTGTCTGTTTGGAGCTAACCTTACCATACCTTATACTATCTTACTTTTACATATCCTGCCTTAATCGATCTTACTTTGCCATGCTTTACTCTACCCTATTCTGTTCTATTCTATCCTAGGTTACCCTACCTTAATCTACTTTATCTTACTTTGCCATACCCTACTTTATCCTATTCTTTCCTACTCTATACTAAATTACCCTATATTACCCTACCCTTTCTTACCCTATGCTAATTTACCCTACCTTATTTAATATTATGTAATTTTGCTTAAGATTTACATTATTTTATGTTAATTATCTTATCATTGATTTATGGCATATTCTCTAAAAAAATATTGATCAATGTCATTAGTTTCTTATATTAAATAAGTTTTTCGTATCTAACCATGTCGTTTTAATGGGTATAAATAAGCTGCTATTTTAACAGACAGCGTATTTTACAAAAAGGAAGGGCAGATCTGTGCACAGTGCAAACATAATTTTTTATTTGTGCTTTGTGCAATTTTTCTAAAAATTTTTAAGTTCGATTTTTAAAAAATAGGTTATAACTGAATTATCATACATTTGAGAAGATTATTTTTACATTTATTGTCTTTTTTCCTGCTTTATTTGGCCCTTTCCGGAAATTTCTACCCACTGTCTCTTGACCGGATTCGAACCCGCGTGCTTTTGATTTGTTGAAAAACGCGCTATTAGTTAGATAATGAAACTTTTATAGCACGGTTTAGAATCGGAAATGGTGCCATTAAAAGCTGAATTTTGCGCTGATTTTGAATATAAAAGAAAAATTTGGTACGATAATGCAATGTTCTTGAGAAATGATGCATTTTTTTGTGTGCATGTACCAGTTTCTACCATTAACACTAATTGGACCACTTGATACAATAAGATAAAATGTAGTGCACAAAAAGTTATGTAAGCTATCAAAATTTCAAAGAAATCCAAATTGTTTCAATTGAGATATGGCGCTGCAACTCAAATTTTATAAATCTGTCATCATGACATATTTTATAAAAATATGACAAAAGATGCTTTTTATAATCATATGTTTTGACTAAATTTTTAAAGCTTTTACTTTTTTTGGTACACTTCTTCATGTTCAAAATGATCTTTATGGTACAATTCATCGTGTTTTTGAGTCTGCACCGTGCAATGCCTTTTTAAACATTCTTAAAAATGAAAATATCTTTGTGTATTTTACGTGCATCTGTCGTATTTTAAAAACTAAAATAATATTTTCAAAACATTATACTTTAGTCATGACCACCCTAACAGAGAAGGACTACATAGAGCTTGGCCAAGAAGCCTGTTCTCAAATCAAAAATTTGGTCGAAAGCGACTGGTCGCAAACTTGGCCACAATTGGAATGGGACGAGCCTGAAGTCAAGGTTTATGCTAGAAAGGCAGTAGAATTCGAGGAAGCCAAAGAGAACATGTTAATGCTGGTCATGGATGTTAATGTAGGTGAACATAACAAAATTTTAAAAAATTTTGAAGTAAAAAAAAAATTTTTTTTGGTTTTTTGGGCAGGGTATTAAAGTTAGAATGGTAGTTTTTCGGGAAGAATAGTAGGGAGTCACAAGAATTGTATACTGTAACGTTTTTTCATTTTCAGACTACAGTAGCTCATCTGGAGCGTCTTTTGTTTCCGTGGTTCGAATACAGAGTAAAATGGGACGAAATGCTAGCCCAAGCCAATATTTTAGAAAGATATAGCCAAGAAGTAAGTTGTTATGGCATTTATTGCCCTTTTATGTCATATTTTGCTAGCTTTGTTACCTAATTTGTTCGGAATTGTACAGTATTACATTTGTTTAAATTTAAAAAAAACCTCACCAATTTTATATAAAACACCATTTCAGACCTTCATAGTGCGACATGTAGTCAAAAAACGCCTAACCTTATCAGCCAGAGACGCGATCGACGCTACATCAGTCTACCGGCAAGAAGATGGTTCAGTAGTGATGGGCTCCACTAGTACCGACTACCCCAAGTGTGGTCCTCAAGACGGGTTTGTAAGGACAAGGCAATTCCTAGGTGGATATTACCTAAAGCCTCAGGGAGAGAGCTCTACCAAGTTCATGATGGTATTCTGTGCTGATCTTAACCTGCCGATACCTAGATTCTTGTCTAACATGGTGGCTAAGTTGAAGCCACGATTGATGGTTGAAAAGGCCAAGAATTTGACCAAAGCTGTGAATAAGTATCCTTTATGAGAGTTGATAAGTCCTTTATGAAAGCTGATAATTACTCTTTGTGAGATTGGACGTGGAGTTATGAGAGCTAATAAGTACCCTTTATGAAGTTGTTAGTGGATTGATGACATTCTTTATGACATTTGATCAGTTTTTTGGCATCTTTGGCTTGAATTTGATCTTACCAGTACATTTTTTGGTTATTTGAACACTCTTTTAGCATCAAAATTACTTTTTTTGACCTAAAAATAGATATACCTTCACTATCCAATTTTCATACTTAAAGTTTCGTAACTAAAAAGTTCTGTATCTATTTTACGCATTGTCCAATCATTTTGAAACTTTACATGTGGCACAACAGGGTAATTGTATACCAATACCAAAAAGAATCATAAAGTTACAACACTTTTGTCAAAAGTTATAACATTTTAAAATTTTGCGGCTCGAGCCCAAATAAATTTTTTTCAAATTGCCATAACTTTTTTGACCCTGCCGATAAACTCACAATTCTTTTTGTAGAAAAAGCACAATTTACTTATGTTTATGTCTACAATGTTGCAAATCCATCGCTATGATAGAATACAAGAATTGAATCAAAAACTGATGTCACCTCCATGCTATTGTAGATTAGTATCTCATATTAGGAAGTTCTGTAAAACGATACTTACTCTTTGTATATTTCTTGTTTTTTAGCTTTGAAATTGATTACAATAAACTATTATCCAATGTGTAATTAAAAATTTTTTAAAATTTGGGTTGTGAATTTTTGAATTGAGGCAAGCCCGCCAAAATTCAGCAGCTTGGCATTGTGAGACTATATGGTAAGTTTTAGCCGAAGGCTCGTATTTTACAAAGTCTGTAAAGAAAACAATTATTTTTTGTAATTGATTTAGCAAATAATCGCATAATTCAAAGCCAACCAATTTAAATTTCAAAAATCCCGCGAAATTAGCTAAACTTTGGCACAAGCTAAGACAACTGCCATTTTCAATTAAAAACATACAAAATATACCTAAATCTGTTATATCTGTACTCTAACTTTAATAACCTTTCGCAGTGTTGAATTTTCTAAGATTTAAAATTCAAAAAGCGCGGGAAAACCGCAAAAGAGGCTGTCTTTTGGCATTCCGCAATTTATCAAAAAACTCCAAAATAAATTGGTTTTTTATATAAAATTCGAGCGAATTTACTTTTTATCAGTCCGTTTTTACCCCCCTATTACCTTTTTTCATTACTATCTTGGCTTTAACTTACTAAAACTTAATAAAATTGATGTTTTATTACCTAAAAAAACCATTTTATACTTACAACAATATAATTTTCTTAAAATCTCCTCAAAAATTTTAAAAATATAGAAAAATGGTCTGTAAAATCTGTTTTCCCCAATGTAATTTCAGTTTTGAGACGTATTAGACGCGAGGAAAAAGGCAGCCCCGGCCTGCTTCAGCATGTGAGAGCGTGCGAAGCGAGGAGAGCGGTCAGAAAATAAAAGAAATTTTTGGGGGCTGGGTCCGCCTTCTTTTTTACAGATATCTCGGTTACGAGTCCAAACAATTGATTCCAATACTGGTCCATTTCAATTAGTATTTTGGTTTAATTGCTTGATTTTTTCAATTTTTATGTTTTGGGGTGTTTTAGTTCTTCTTTTCTAAAAATTGGGGATTTTTACCTTTTTTGGAAGTTGTTTTAGCAAAAAAAGGCTTTTTGAGCTTCTTTTTTACATATAAAAAGTGTTTTTTATTATAAAATAGAGGCATAATTAACATTTTTTGTTTTATTACATTATCCTACCTATACCTACAACATTTTAACCCATACCTTCATTTCCAGCTAATAAACCATGGATCCCTCGACCAGCTCCGAGTCCGCAGAGAAGTACTATGTAGCGTACGTGCCAGAAATGGACAATTTTGCGATTGTTGGCTATCAGCACGTGGAAGAGAACATGAACGCGGATGGTACCTTCAACATCATGGTTAACGACAAAAATGCACCCGCCCAAATCCGGGGTTGTTTTTATAGTCAACATGAGGCGATGCTGTATGTGAATTCGATTGTCAATCAGAGCAAGCCGGAGGATCAGCCGAGTACGAGTGCGGCGAGTGTTGACATGAAGGAGCAGATGAATGTGATACCGTTGGACCCGACGAACTTGGCCAATTTGGTTGTGAATGGTATGGTGTTATATGTTATTTTGAAGCTAAAAGGCTGTAGTTTATTAATATTAAAAAATATTTTAATAATTTTGGTTTATGTTAGCTTATAAATGGCATTTTTTTCTTATAAGTCGTATTTTTGAGCTTTAAAATAGAAACATTATGTTTTGATGCATAAAGAATGGCGCTTTCTGAAAAGTTTTGTAGGTTTAAAACCAAAATGCTCTAGGGCATTATTTAAGACAGTTTTTTTAGTTGGAGCCGAAGACCTTCGAAATTTGACGGAAAAAGTAGTGGCAATCGAAAGCCGGCTGGCACGAAATGAGGACTTGCTTCTGAATACCTTTGCCAAGGTACATAATGCCTACGATTTGATTGTTGCTCAGAATGACAGTATTCAAAAGCTGACCGAAATGGTCGACCGGTCAAATGGTACCATTGGTACGAATGGTGCTGTTATTACTGTTAGCGCTGGAATGAATGATAATAATAATATAAATGGCTTTACTGGAGTAAATTTTGCGACTGGTGCTAATAGTACTTCTGGTGTTAATTCAATGAGTTCAGGAGCAACTTCTGGAGTCTTTTCCAGTACGTTTGGTGCTGTTTCTAATACTTCTGGTACTATGTCAACTTCATCTGCGAACAGTACGAATATGGCTGGTACTCTTTCAGGGAATAATGGTTCTGCGGACAAAAATCAGTACCAAAACAAGTACAATCCTACGGCGCAGTACCAGACAGTGCCTTCAACAGCACCATTAAGCAATACCTACAGTAATACGGCTTTGAATACCGATCAGATTCCGGCTTCAAACTCATCGTCAGCTCAGAATCCGGCTTTGAGAGCCCCATCGTCACAAACTTCATCAACTCTCACCAACCTTTTGGCATCTACATCAACATCCGAAGCCAAATCGTCTGGTACTGGGAAGCATTTACGTTTGGTACCAATGCAAAACTACTCAGGAATGGTACAGCTGCCAACTGGTACTGTTAAGCTGGAGAATGGGTATATTACTCAGCCGGATTTGAGCAATTTTGGTGTTAATAGTACTCTGAACAAGGCTTTGAAGGCGGAAATGCTTAGTCCTAATGGTGCCACTAGTACTGTCAACTCAAATGGTACTAATAGGAATGGAAATGGTGTTAATGGTACTGCTGGAAATGTTAGTACTAATAATTTTGGAGCAACTGGTACCAATGGATCTTTTGGTGCAAATACAGCTAATAGCTCGTATACTACAACTGGAAATGGCTCGAATAACAGTTTTGGTACAGCTGGTGTTAACAGCAACATTAATACAAGTACTAGTGGTACCAATAGCAATTTTGTTACAACTGGTACTAGGAATAAAACTAGAGGTGGTACTAACAATCAAATGAACAGAAATGGTGCCAATAATAGTACGAGTAGTACTATTATGGGCAATACCTCTACTGGAATGAATAGTACGAGTAACATGGCTACAGCTGGTACTTCTGGTACAACTAATGGATTTGTGACTGTGAAGTCGGAGTTTCTCAACAATGGTACCACAAATTCAATTTTTAGTAAGCATGAGGGCAAATTTTTGCGGTTAGGGGCACATAATTATTTGAAATACTTAATATGACACCTTAAAATAAACAACCCTCTTTCAGCCACCACCTTGTCTGACCCAAATCAGCCGTTTGTCGCAACAAAACCAGCCTACAATTTTATAACGGAAGCCGACTGTCTAAGCCTATGGAAATTGTCAAACAACAACCTCTCTTCCTTCCTCGACCGGTTGAATCAAAAGGTCTTTGCACTGTCAGAACTACTAAAACCCCTGGAGCAACGCCCTGAGGAAAAAGTGGCTGAACTGAGGAAAATCATCGCATTTTACAGTAATCCCGGCAATGTAGCTGCGGAGTTGTTGACCTGGCAGAGCTCTGTAACACAGATTAACAATTTTGTGAACAAGGTGTTGCAAAGCGACATTTTTCAAAACCAAATCGGGCCGATGAAGAAGCGAGGTCGGCCAAGAAAGTATCTGACGCCTTACAACAATGAGGGCGAGGGAGGTCAGTAGGGGGTGGTAGGGGACTAAAAGATTGTTAGTGGGAAGACTAGGTAGAGAGCTGTCGTGAGGGGTAAGGTTGACTATGTCTGGCTGGTCCGGAAGGAGATACGATGAAAGAACTAAGAACGATGAGGAATATCGGGCGAGTCAGGTCTAAGAGGTAACAAATTTTGTCATAATAGTCGTATTGATACCAAGATTGACTAGTTTATGGGTCTTACTAATACCGTTTTAAATTTTGTATTTTAATACTACCTTTAAAAGTCCAAATTTTTTAAAAAAATGTTGTCATATTTCTTAACTTTTGTATATTGTGTAAAGTTTTTGCTGTATTTAACTTTTTTGTGACATTCTTTAATTTAGGTACAATTTCCTTTTGTAGAGCATGAACAGTTGTATATGTTCACTAAGTTGTTTTAAAGATATTATATTTAGAAACGAAGTTAGCTTGTTGAAGGTTCCAAAGAGCCATAGTTGTCCAAGCGGAACCGAACTTTTATTGATTTATGAAATTTTGAAATAGGTGTAACTTTTTCATAAAGCATGACATTGACATGATATTTTGAGCAAACATATACATTTTCATGCTTTACATTGGCTTTTAACCAATTTTTTCATTTTTGGGTCATATTATGATGATATTGTCACTTTTATTCGGATGGTCTGTTACCTTTTTTCCAGTTTTGTTTTTATTGAGTATGCCATTCCTTACGTTAGCATTGACATTTTTGATAACAACTTTGCAAACTTCGTATGACAACCAATTTTTAAAAGTTTTTATCAAACTTTATTGTTTATTTTTCTTTATTACTTTTAAAAAAGGTGATATTACTGTAAAAAGGGTTGTATTGTATATAATTCTCTTGCATTTGTCTACTATAATATAATTTCTCAATGAACTTGTCTTAATATGTAAAATGATTTTTAACTTATTTAATAAACTTTAATTTTTATTTTTTGGGTATTAAAATTTTTTTTGTACCGTGCAGTTTAACTTTGAAGAAATGGAGTGCGCGGACTGTTTCACAAATTTTTAAACAAATGATCAAAAATAAACAAGCATATTCTATGAAAAGCATTTTATATTTTTTGGCGCAAAATGCCTCAGGCAGGCTGCACAGTGCAATTTTTTAATATTTGTACTGCACCGTGCAGACTTAAAAAATTTTTTTTGAAAAAGTTGCAAATTTTCGAAAATTATTTTTTGTTAGGGTTATAAAAATCAAAAAAAGTTCATATACAGTAAATAACCTTAAAATACGTTCTTTATCGGGAGACAAGCGACAGTAGTATATAAGGGCCTCTCGACTCATTTTCTCACTGCGTTCTTTCCACGGCATTCCCCACCCCAGACGACCTTATCAAAGGTTGTAAATGCGTGCTAGTGGATTCATAAAAGAATTACCGTCCGCGGAGACATGTTATACGAATGAACATGTCATTCAAATGTAAAAATTTTGCCAAACATTTTTACAAATGTTTCGACAATTTTTTGGACCTCCGCCCCCAGACCAAAAGTCCCCGCCCTGAAAGGGGTTATTACAAGACAAGAACTACCTACAGAAGAAGAACTAAAGTCTTTTGAAAGCCTCTTTTTGCCAGTTGTTGAATTGAAATTATAATTTAAAAGACGATTTCTGGGACGATAAAGCAGCCTGAAACAGGCAGGTGCACTAGAAATTGACCCCCTGTTTTTATAGACTGAATGCATGAGATAAACCGTTTTAAGATGTATAGTGAAGTGGTTTTGCACAAAATGTCATTTTGACATTTTTATGACATTTTTTGTCAAAAACAGTGAAAATTTATAATAATTTTAAAAATTAGCCGAATGTTTTGAAAATATGTACACTTATGTTTTTAACTATGCTGATTAAAATTGTAGTTGTACATTATTTTCTAAGGTTACCAATGACCGTAACCCAACCGGTCGATTATAAAAGTGCAAATACACAAAAAGTTTAAAAATTTTATCAGATCAGAATATTTGCTAAAAATATGCCAAGTAAGTTAAAAAAAACTATATTTTAAACAAGTTGTTTTTTAACTTTTTGTGTATTTGCAGTTTTTTAATCGACTGGTCGGGTTACGGTAGGTTACGGTAACTTTAGAAAAAAATGTTTAACAACAGTTTTAATAAGCGTGTTTTGAAACGTAAGTATAACAAATTTCACGGGGTTTGATATATTAATAATGGCACGGTAATTTTTTTATTTTTTTTTGGACCGTATTCTACCGTAATTTATTAATCGCCCAAAAACCCCAAAAATTGGCAGCTTTAAGTTTGAGCGTACCGTCTATTCAAACTCAAATTTCATGTAGATTCCCAAATATGCTAAAATTGACTATGACTAACCGTGTTAAATTTTTTTTATTTGCACTTTTATAATAGACCGGTTGGGTTACGGTAGGTTAAGTTGACTTTAGAAAAAAATGTTCAACTACAATTTTAAAAAAAATTTTACTGTTTTTGGCAAAAAATGACAAAATGACATTTTGTGCAAAACCACTTCACTATACATCTTAAAACGGTTTATCTCATGTATTAAGACGATAGTTTCTAAGAATACTGACATTTGTTTTTAATATTGCGTATGTTTTGGTTTCATGCCGTTCAAGATGGATAGGTCCTATCGTAAATCAAATGATTTGACCCGAATGCGGTAATCGTTAAGTTCCATGGCATGCCCGAGTGTTCTGAGTTATCGCGCGCTAGGGCGGGGTCAAAGTGGTGTCCAAAAACCAAAATAGAATACAAAAAAAAGAACGGGGACAATGCCAATGTATGAAACACTTTTGAGTGAAATCTATTCATTTGCTAAAAATTTTTCTTCTAACGGTATGTGACATTAGGAGCTATGGTTGTTTTTTGCAAACCATACGTATGTTTTAGAAAACTTACCCCACCAACCATGATGTCGTGCGAATCCTTTGAAGACGTAGTGCCTTTTGAGGCGCTCTGTCTACCAAGTGACCAGCTTTCATCTAACGATGAAGTTAGCGTTGGAAGCGAGTTGTCTCTGGAGACTCATGTCTCATCTACCAACCTCTCTTTGGTGAATGGAATGGAGCTTCAACTGAGTCGAACATGCAGGCTTCAGAAGAATTGATTGTTGATTCGCATCCGATCATCACATTGAATTTTTATTCCCCCAATACTGCCTAACCTGAGTCGTCTACCTTTCAGCCATTCTTCGAACTGTTATCTTTTAACAATGGGTCAAGAAGAATACCGTCCCGAGAACGACAAAGAGTACATGGATGCTTTGGAAGCTGAAGTTGAAGACAGAGACAAAACCAATAAAACATTGTTATGGACGATAGACTGCAGAATCAAGACATTGAACCTACTCCGGGCGTCAATACATTTTCCACCAAAAAAAGCGTCACTTTTGAAACGCATAATTAAGTTTTTAATTTTTAAATTTTAGTTTTTTAAAACTTATAGTAAGCTTTTACTTTGTTAAACTTACTTTTTTAGCATTGTACCATTTGTGGGGGCCAGTCCCAAAGCGCAAAGACTTGAATTGCCTCAGTCACCGTCTATTTCATTGGACACTACCGTATGAACGGTAAAATTGCCTATTCTTGTGTTATCGGCACAGTTGCCGACGCTAACAGCTACTTAATTAAAGCTTTTGGCAACCATCATCAGCAAGTTATCAGCACCCTCATACATTTCGCAGAATTTAGTTTCTGTGTCTTTCTTTTCGACATGTAGTTCAGTAAGAATATAACTTTTTGATAGATCAATAAAATTTGGACCGGTTTCAACGTGAAAGTGAAAAGGTGTATCAGTAACAGGGTTTCTCGTCAGGTATTCAGTATGAACATGTAATTTCAGTTTCTGGTACACAAAACAAGTTTAGGGCAAAGGTGACAGATTCACCGCTCTTTGAATCAATTTTTGATACCGTAATAATAAGTTAAAATAAAATTTGTTGCAAAAAAAGTAAAGGGTAGGGTCAGGTAGGCCTAAAAAGGTGAGGGGTAAGGTCAGGTAGGGCTAATTTTTTAAGTTAACCAACATTTTGTAATAATAGGGGAACCGCCCATGGTGGATTCCGCCTATAATGGAAGCCGCCCATAGTGGATTTCGCTTATGGTGGAACCCGTCCATAATAGGATGTTCCGGAGTGGGTCGGTGTCGAGATGAATTTTTCAATTTGGGAACGACCTGCTCAGGTTTTTTGCGAAAAAATGAAAGTCGAATGTTATGTTTACGACAGAATGCCAATGATATTTGAATGAACTGGTCCTTTAACGGGGTTTTGTTTGTCAATTCTGTTAAAATATGACTTCCTGATGAAAGGGCTTCACGTCCCACTTCACCTGCGACATCTTGATTGTTTGGTCGTATAACATGTCACTAAGACAACTTTGACAACCAATGCCCAAAATGTAAAAGGTTTTGCAAATTTTTACTAGAATGTTTTATATTTGAATAGACACGTTTATTCGTATAACATGTCTCCGCGGACAGTAATCTTTTATGAATTCACTAGCACGTATTTACATTCTTTGATAAGGTCGTCTGGGGTGGGGGAATGCCGTGGAAAAAACGCAGTGGAAAAATGAATCGAGAGGCCCTTATATACTACTAACGACTGCCAATTTATGCAAATCTAAAAATTCCTGAAAAAACAAGATTATCAGTGAGAGTTAACAAATAGAGAATAAAACCAGCAGAGCTGGTTTTATATCAACTTTCAGTTTCAGCTGAAAAACCATGAACTTGATTAGGTTTTTGGCCGTTCTTGTACTCTTATGTTTGTATGAAGTCAAAGGTAAAATACGTTTTTTTAAATACAAGTGAAATGTGACATAAGAGAAATGTGTTTTATTTTTTAATGAATGGTATGTTTATTGATAATTTTACCATAAGCAAACCAAAAAATTAAAAATTTGCGGAATTATTGCACAGTGCAGTCATAAATTTAAAAGCTTGCACTGTGCATTCTTTTCAACAACTTTTGGATCGAATTTTTAAAAATACGTGTTTTAAAAAAAGCTGTTTTCATTTGAAAGCCTTTCTTTTATAAAAGTTTTTTTTGCACAATACTGTTCACTAAACTTAAATTACTGCACTGTGCAGTCATAGATTTTTAAGCTTGCACTGTGCAATTATTCCTTGAACTTTTGAACCAGTTTTAAAAAATATATGTTTTAAAAGTCGTATTTTTTATTTTTTAAATACTTAATTTCAATAATTTTGGTTTTGATTGCACTATACTGTTAAGTAAAATTAAATTACTGCACTGTGCTAATGTCTTTTTGTAAAAAATTTTGAACAAAAACAAAATTTTAAGTTTTTTGGTGTATAGAGATGTAAAATACGTAATTGCGTCTTACATAAGTTTAAAAAAATGTTTTGTTTTATCTTATAGTAGCTTCTCTTTATATTATAGTAGAGTCAAAACTTCAAATTTAATTTCAGTTCAATCAAAAAGCATTAGTCAATCAGTAGAAGAAGCTGGCGACCAATCGACTAGTCAATCTAGTGAAGAAGGTCGTGTCAAGAGAAAATCTGAAGTTTTTCTGAAGTTTGATAGGGCTCCTTGGAGGTAAGGAGGTGGATTACTGTAACTTTTTAAATTTTAGGTTTGGATAACGCCATTTTTGAGAAAAAGCGAAGGCGGTCGTATTTTACATCATGGATTGCATATTTAAAAAAATGTTTTTACTATGTAATTTACCGTATCTTACCTACAATAATATCCTAAGCTACTTCACTTCACGCCGTCTATTCTGATATTCTACCCTACTTTACTTTACCCTATTCTACTTTATCTTACCTTAAATATCGTTTTTTCAAATAATTCTGTGCTCCCTGCCTCTCAACCCTTAACATTTGTTTTAAGAGGTAGCTCATAATTATTTGAACAACCTAGATTGGTGATGACATTCTTTTTTAGTAGTTTTTCTCAATGTCTATATCATGAGAGATCAAATATTTATTATAATAAACTATGACAATATAAACCTTAGGCTAATGTTATTCATCACACCATGACGATTTGATTGTCCATGAAGTGGTCGATTCCATTCAGATCAGGCCCTTCAAATAGTGACACAATGTGATGGACAAGATAAGAGAGCGCCATCTCTCCGACGTATCGCTGGGGGTACTGAAATGGCATTTATATCAGTCTTTCCACTAAAGAATTTGACAAAATCGCAAACCCCAATTTGGAGGAATGGCTGTCGCGCCGAGAATCAGGGGGCGTCGCGCGACATTCAGCTAGTCGTGCGACATTCGCTTGCATCCTGCGTCATCGAAAGGGGAATCGCAATGTCGCAAGGGATAAAACCTTGCGACAAGTTGTTGCATCGCGGTTTAAAGGGCGATGCGACAGCGTGTCGCGATTGTCGCAACGCTCAAACCACCACTGTGTTCAATGGAAGGTTTGCGACACGATTTTTTTCACTGTCGCAAGTCCCCTGACTCCTGCAACAATCGACCTGTGCGACAATTGAGAGCTTGCACTGTGCAGTCTTTCTCTCATCGTTTGGGGTTGCAAGAGATCGCACGGGAATCTGCACGGTGCAGTAGAATGAAAAAGGGCGCGATTTTCCCAGGGACTGCACTGTGCAGTTGTCAAATTCTTTAGTAGAATGACTGATAAAGTTGCTACATACCCTACCCTACCCTACCCTACCCTACCCTACCCTACCCTACCCTACCCTAGGCCATATCGTACCCTGGGCTTTACCTTACCCTAGGCCCTACCGTTCCATAGGCCCTACCGTACCCTAGACCCGACCGTACCCTACGTCCTACCGTACCCTAGGCCCTACCGTACCCTAGAGTCTTGCTCTTTGTACATTAGTTTTGCCTTTACTACAGTATTCCGCTTTTTAATACCCTAGGCTTAATACAGTGATCTACCTTACCTTACTCTACTCTACCCTTCCCTACCTACACTACTTATTTAAAGTCAATACCACCCCGCCCCTCGTCCATATCTATAAAATTACCCTACCCGATTCATAGAAATCGCCAACTCAATTCCACTGTCAGTCCTCAGCAGATAGTTCAATGAGCTTGGCATTTGACCTTGATGAGCTCTGCCATTGAACCCCTTCTCATTGACAGCCCAGCCCAGTCCATAAGTGTAGTTACTCTCCCTGGTAGGTGTACCCATTTTGTACACACTCTCAGGCCAAATCAAATCTCGTTTCAATGGCAGTCCATCGATATGAGTTAGGAATTTGACCGTATCTTGAGGTGATAACACCCATCCACAGCAGGCCTCCAATATCGATTGATCGGGCAAATCGTAGGGATCGTCGGGTGAGTCGGGGGTGGAATAGTATAGCACGTTCAGACTGTACAAAAATGTAAAATTGTATAAAACTGAGTTAAAAATGCCTTAAAAAGTTACATTAACTATCATTTTTCCCGCCAATTTTAAAAACCGTATTTTAAGTAATGACTAAAATTAACATTTTCTTTTTGTAGCTATTAAAAGCTTACAAATTTCGGCATTAAGCTTATTTTGCAAACAACACGTACTAAAAACCGTATTTTATATGCTTAAAATTTAAAAATTTTTAACTCCCGTCGAATTTGGCATTATGTTTTAAAGCGTTTTTCTTAATTAAAAAATTTTATAACTAGTTTTATAACGTATTTTACTAAAAATTAGAAAAAATGTTTTGAAACGTTCTATCCCTACCCTAATCTATTCAAATTCACTTTTTCCCGCCATTCTTGGCATTCCGTTCAACTTACTCCGGTGGGCTTCTGAAGCCACCACTCATCGTCATTTGTCGTCCCAAGCCAATGGGCAAAAATATTTTTCGATTCACAAATTCGCTGTACGACATTCCACTCCTGTATTCAATTACTTTGCCCAAAATGGCATAGCCAAAGTTGGAATACAAGTAGTCATTGCCTGGGGGCTTTTTCAATGGATTTGTCGCAATCACCTCTTTTATCATGTCTGTCGCGGTCTTTTGCTCGGTTTTGAAGATTGGGTCGTCCGGTGTGTTACCATATGCTCCTACAGTATGACCCAGCAAGTGTCTTACTGTAATTTCATCGACATATCGAGGGTATGTCAAATTGTCTGTCATATCCATGCCCAATATGCCTCCGAAGCCAAATACTCGTTCGTCTAGAGTTATGTCGCCATTCTCGATCAGTAGGAAGATGGCAGTCGAGGTAATTGTCTTTGAGACTGAGCCGACGCGGATCTTGTCGTCTGGTGTCATTGTTACCTTCTTTACAACGTCTGAGTAGCCAAAAGCTAAAATATAGGTATTTATTGTATTGTAAAGAAAGTTCTTGCCATTTTTGGTTTTGTAAAGAAAGTTCTTGCCATTTTTGGTTTTGTAAAGAAAGTTCTTGCCATTTTTTGTTTTGTAAACAAAGTTCTTGCCACCTTTAATTTTGTAAAACATTTAAATTTGCACAGCGCAAACTTTAAAACCATTTTTTAAGCCCATTGCACCGTGCAGACATTCTATTGCACTGTGCAAAAAAACCATTTCTTTGCACTGTGCAACCGATTAAGCCGTTCATCAAAATTCAAAAAAGTCTGCACAGTGCAATCTCCGTAAGCTTCACCGCACCGTGCAGTCTATCGCAAAAGCCCCTTGCGACAACCAACTGAAACTTTTGTCGCAAAACCTTTCATTGAAAAAAGGACAAAGTTTGGATTTGCGACAAGCATTCAAAACGCTTTTCAAAAGGCGACAAAGTTGTCGCAAAGGTTTGCTTCTTCCAACAACTTGTCGCAAATTTTTTCCCACCTTGCGACAGTTCAATTCCTTCTGCGATGTCGCCGAATCAAAGCAAGTGCCGCAGATTGTGTCGCAGATTTTGTCGCTGAATTTCCCTCAACTTCCTTTGCGACAAAAATTTTCCGAAAAACTTTGTTGCGATTTTTTTCAATTTTTTTTTGAAAGAAGTCCTGCGACAACAACAAAACTTTTGTCGCAATCATCATCTGCACAGTGCAATAACCTTTTCAGTTTGCACTGTGCGATAGTCTTTTGCACCGTGCAATTGAAGCGAGTCTTGCACTGTGCAATAGAGTTTATGGGCTTTTAGGTTTGCACGGTGCAAAGCAAGTTTAAGTCTGCACAGTGCAAAGGTAGTTGGCTTATAAATCTGCACGGTGCACGGTTACTAGACTGCACAGTGCAATAGCCTAAACAAGACTTTTCATAACAATTGCACGGTGCAAGTAACAAAAATAATGAATTTAACGTAGTAAAGCAATATATACCATAGTAAATCAATAAATTTAACATAGTAAACCAACATATATAAAGGTATAGCTTACCCACAGCCAGTTTTAGCAGTTCGTTTTTAGCCAAAGCGATTGATAAGCCAGGGATTTCGAGTTTTTGCATAAATGACACGACTCGATTGTTTAGGTAACTCAAGAGATCGGTCGGTAACTCCATATTCATTCCGTTTATGTACTGGAATGGAATTGGTCTGAAAATATAGGTATTTTAGTTTTGATGCTAAATAGTATTATTTTAAACAAGATAGTACTACGAGTTCTAAACTGATGTTTTTTGGTACTGTATTAGTACTATTAGGAAGAATATGTTACTATCAGCAATAAATTGTTATTTTCAATGCTAAATAGTACTATAAGTAATAAAATATTAGGTCTTGAAACAAATAGTACTATTGGCACTAAAACATTAATTTTAGTACTATATAGCACTATCAGTAAGTAAATATTAATTTTTGTACTAAGTATTACTATTAAGAATTCTATATCAATTTTTATACTATATAGCACTATAATAACTAAAATAAAAGTTCTAATACTAAATAGTACTATTAGTAATAAAATATTTATTTTGGTACTATATAGCACTATAAAAACTGAAACAAAATTTCTTGTACTAAATAGTACATTCAGTACAAAAAATATTCCTTTCTGTACTATATAGTACTGTTAACATCTAAAAATTTATTTTTGATACTATGTAGCACCAGCAGAACTAAACCCAATGTTTTAATACTAAATAGTACTATTAAAAACCAAATGACACCCATAGTGCTAAAAAAGTTCTAGTAGTACAATATTTTAGGTACAAACCAACTTACACATCATAAGTCAACAGAGGTATGGCCCTAGGAAACGGCCAAATGGGAACATTACTCCACAGTATTAACATCGTATTATTGGCTACACTGACTTGCTTCGGAGTTAAAGAAGTATACCTTGTAAAGTTACTTCGAAGTTGTTCATGTTCTGACAGTAAAGTATTGTTGGTGTATGTGATACGATGAGATGCACCATGTTGGTACCAGTAAATCGCTGAGCATTTTAACTAAAATTTATAAGAGAGGGCATGGGTAGGGTAGAACATAGTAGATATTAAGATTCGGTAAGGCTTACAGTACGACAAGGCTTAAAGTACAGTAAGACCTAGAGTACAGTAAGGCTTTGTGTACGGTAGGGCTTAGAAAAAGGCAAGGCTAAGGGTACGGTAGGGTTCAGGTTACGGTATTACCTAGGGTACAATAAGGCTTAAAGTACGGTAAGGAACAAGGTACGGTAGGGCATAGGGTACGGTAGAGCTTTGGGTACGGTAGGGCCTAGGGTACGGTAGAATCTAAGGTACGGTAGGGCCTAGGGTACGGTAGAATCTAGGGTACGGTAAGGCCTAGGATACGGTAGAATCTAAGGTACGGTGGGGCCTAGGGTACGGTAAGGCTTAGGATACGGTAGGGCCTAGGATACGGTAAGGTCTAGGATACGGTAGGGCCTAGAGTACGTTACGGCCTAGGGTAGAGTAGGGTAGAATAAAAAAACTTACAGTATCATTACTCATGTAGATATTAAACTTCTGTGCCACATAAAACTGGCTAGCCAGTTCCTTATCTTGTTTTAGGCATTCATTTATCTCTACATCGAATATCAGCTTGGTTTTAGTAACTTGCATTTCAACTCGTCGCTTTGGCTGAACTGTCACTAATATGTACTGGTCTTTACCCTGAAATAACAAGAAATGGCAATAACTTTCTTTACAAAGCGAGAAACGGTAAGAACTTTCTTTACAGACTAAAAAACTTACATTATGATAAAACCCTGTCAGACTAACCGGTAGGCTGACTGGGCTTAAAAACCGCTCTGGATTAGTCTCATTGGCGTCGAAAATATAAATATTGGAGTCGGCTTCTGGATTCTCTACCCACAAAGACGTTATCATTAGAGTACCATCAGGCCTTGTATTGGCAGAAGCTTCAATTAGGATTTGGCCAAGTTCAAATTTCTCTCTAAAATTTGAATTTTGAAAAGATTTAGTCCACTATGCCCTACCCTACCGTATTCTAAGCCCTATCGTACCCTAGACCCTACCGTACTTTAAGCCCTACCGTCCCCTATGCTCTACCGTACCCAAAACCCTACTGTACCCGGTACCTTAGGCTTCACCGTACCTTATTTCCTACCCTATCGTGGGCCCTACCGTACATCATGCTCTACGTACCTTAAGCCTTAACGTACCCAAAGCCCTACTGATCCCTAGGCTCTGCCGTGCCGTAGACCCTATTATACCCTAAGCCCTGCCGCATCGTAAGCCTTACCGTACACCATGCTTTCCGTACCCTAGGCCCTACCATACCCTACCCTACTCTACCCTACTCTGCTCTACCTTGTCTTAATGGTACCGTTTAAAAACTGCTACTTTTTCTACATTGACATACTCTACCTGTCTTACAGTACTATTCTTTACCCTTCCTACCGTTTACTTACTTCATTTTCTGCTCCAATCGTTCCAAACTGATCGGCATTGAGCTGCCTATAACATCAAGATTGTCCATGTCATCGAACACTGCAATGTACAGTGGCTTGTCTTCTACATCGTAAATAGAGTTCAGCGACTTTAACTTCAAATTGGGGAAGTTATGTTGAGATAAAGCTAACTTGTAGGTATCTCGACCCACAGTTATCATCCATTGTGGGTCTATCTTGGAGAATATTATCTAAAACAAGAGACATGAAAATTACAAAGACTTTCTTTACAAAAAATAAAATGGCAAGAACTTTCTTTACAAGACATAAAATGGCAAGAACTTTGTTTACAAAACATAAAATAGCAAGAACTTTCTTTACAAAAAATAAAATGGCAAGAACTTTGTTTACAACACAAAAAACGGCAAGAACTTTCTTTACGAATAAAAAAATGACAATAACTTTCTTTACAGATTTAAAAACTATCAAAAATTTCAAAAACTTACCTGATTTTCTTCTTTGTTATCTTCATTCACATCGTATTCTCGTATAGTCGCATTAATATTATAGTTTATATTGAAAGGAGAGATTGGTACAGCTAAAACTAGTCTAGACATGATCAAGATACAACATATATTGAACAACAACATTTTTAGGTACCAATTAGACAGTAGTACACAAACAACTGTAGGTATACCTATGTAGTACTAAAGACAAGTTTATGCGTACCTGTATATTGGTATATCTTTACCTATATGTCACTATATGTCCAGGTATATTACCTACAACAATATGTCAATATCTCTATGTATAAATCTATTTTAGGTATAAATAAGTAAACAGTGAGCTGAACAATGATCTCTTTTGTCAAGTTTTGATCTCTACTCAACAGTTGAGTTTAATGTTAACAATAAAAACAGTTATAATACTATGGCAGACCAACGTGTGATGTAATATACAAACAATTCAGTATAGATTGATATTTATAAACCTTTTTGTAGGTTATACTGAAGCTGATTGACGTATATTGACCAGTAAAATGTAAAAAAGGGTACTACAAGGTCAAGATTAAGCAAACTTTTGATGACATTAAGACAAAGTTACGTAATAGGGAGTTACAGTAAGGTAACACGAAGTTACAGTAAGACAATAGAAAGATACAGTGAAGCAGTAAAAAGTTACTGCAAAACAAAATAAAGTTACAGTAACACAATCAAAAGTTACAATAAGGCAATATAACGTTACAGTAAGATAACAAATGCAGTTACAGTAAGACAAGAAAAAGTTATATTATGACAGTATAAAGTTACAGTAGAACAATAAACAATTACAGTCAAGCGATGTAAAGTTGAAGTAAGGTAATAAAAAGTTACAGTAAGACAAAATAAGTTGCAGTTAGAAAATAGAAAATTACAGTAAGAAAACAAGCCTTAACAAAGTATTATAAGTTTAGGCTATAGATCAGCTAAACAGTAACAATTCGAACCAAACTATTACCCTTTCTGCCCTTAATACCTTACTTTACTCTACTTTACCCTTACAATACTTTGCTTTACTCTACCTTAATACCTTACCTTACTCTAGCTTACTTTACTAGATCTTGCTTGTACAATACCTTACTTTATTTTAACTTGCTCTTACAATACTTTACGTTACTCTGTTTGACACTTACAATATCTTACTTTACTCTCCTTCAAATATTTCACCGTACTCTACCTTACTCTTACAATACCTTACTCGACCCCAGTTAATATATAAAACTCGACCTCGGTTAATCCGAATATAAAAGTAAGTGTATGCGGAATGACGTATTGCCCACTTTTATATGTTCGATGACACAAACTATCAAACCCCACGCCTACAATGACTATAACAACTTTAAACAATCGAAGTGTATTTGCACTCTGACTACCCACGAAACTTTAAAGGGTATCTTGTAGTAGGTCTCAAGTGTAAAAGTTTGGAAATCAGTTTTTTGAGAAGGTTTTATATTGATATTAATATTGGTACTGTGATAGTACTAGATCTTTAAGACAGTACTTATGGTGGTGTTTTTGTTTTTGAAAAGCCTAGATACTAACTAGTACTTTAAAGGCAGTTTTTTTAGCTTATTAGTAAAGAAATTTAAAAAAAGTACCAAAGTACTATTTATTATAGCTTTTTAGTACTAAAATTCAAAACTAGTGCTAAAAGTACAATTTTATAGCTTAATAGTAACAAAATCTAAAAAAAGTACCAAATTTTTAATCTTCTGAGTCTTGTACTAATAAAACTTTAAAATAGTACCAAAAGTACTATTTTTATGACTAAGTAGTACTACAATTTAAAACTGCTACCAAAGTTTCAATTTTTAGAGCCCAGATACCAAAGTTAAAAAAATACCAAATTTTTAAATTTTTTTACTTAGTGGTACCAACCTTCCAAGTAGTACCGATTAAACTATTTTTAGCTTAGTAGTACTAAATTTTGCAAGCAGTACCAAATATAATATTTTTTAGACTAGTAGTGCCAAATTTTTCAAACAGTACTAAATATAAAATTTTTTAAGTTTAGTAGAATCAAATTTTGAAACTGTACCAAATATACTATTTTTTAGCCTAGTAGTACCAAAATTGAAAACAGTACTAATAATTCAATTTTTGAAGCTTAGTAGTAGGAAAATTTAAAAATAATACCAAAGCTGGAATTTTTTAGTGCCTAGTAGTACCTTTTCAAACTGCACCAACTATACAATTTTTACGTCCTACAAGTGCCAAAACTCTAAACAATACCAAATATAGTCGCTTTATGCCCTAAAAACTAAATTCAATTTCGACTTTATATTCACCCTGTCAAAAGTACAAACGCATATAACACAAGTTAAGAGACAAACTTTTTTGAGTGTTTTGAAAACAGAACGAAATCTTTTTGCTTCCAAATCCTTTTCCGGTCGAATGCAACGAACATATATAAAACATTTTATGACAAAACATCAAATATTGTCATTCAAAAAGTTGAACGTTATGTTGGCATTAAAGTCTTGTTGAATTGACACTAAACCTAAAATGGAACCACTGGGCCCTGGACAAGCCAGAACAAGTTTGATAGGAAGCGGGCAGGGCCAGATCGTTCCGACCAGACTAATGAGTTTCTTTTTAGGTCTAGGCTCATTAGGCTCAGACCGAAATATGTGGCCCGGAGGTCCAAAGCAAGGTCCCAGACTCTCAGTTTAAGTCCTGCAACGAAAGATTTTAATGAATTCATAAGTGGACGGATCGGGCTGAGCCGGAAACTTAGTTCTGGCCTAAGTCCTTCACAAGCCTAATTCACACTTTTATTCTCATCTAAAGCCGACAAAGTTTTTTAATACATCAAGAAAAGTCTTGTCGTCCAATTACATTGATTTACATAGCCAAAAACGACAAAACTTTTTTTGGTTTCAACAAGTCGCCAACTTGAGTAATATAGCTTGAAAATCATAAAATACTGTCATTTTTAACAGTATGTTAAAGAAAGATAACATTTTTATTCATTTTTTGATATATAGTATGTAAGTTAACAAAATAAGTGAGAAACGCCGTAAAAAGTAAAGGTAAGAGTTTAAGTGGCCGCTCTGTTTGTTTTGTGACCAACTTGTTATGTATAAGATGTTAAACGTTCTTATAAATGGGCTGGTAGTTTGTAGTTGGAACTTGGAATGGACAGAAAAGTAGCAATTTTTAAAATTGCAAACTATTTTTGAAAATATTAGGTGCCGACATAAAGAACCCGCCATACTTTTTTTGTAATTTCCTGTAAAAATGGCGGGTTTTTTATGTCGGCATCTAGTAAAACAGAAACGGTTGTATTCCAGCAGCAAAAACATCTTGCAACATTATGCCAAAGTTGGCGGGAAAATTAAAATTTCAACTTTTAAACTTACAAGGAAGCACTCCACCTGCCATTCTCTGATTGACTTCAAACTTTTTATATAGGAAGAACATGTCAGTATAAGATCTTCAGTAAAGTACTAAATCGCGTTCTTACAGCCAATCTTAAAAAATCGAGATCAGAAAATTACGTTATGAATTTCCCGTCAAGTTGGCATTGTGTTTCAAGCTTATAACTTTGCCATTTTTTGACTTTTAATTATTTTTCTTTGATATACTAGTAGAATATCTTTAAATAAACCTACATTTTTAAATTTTTAAGCGTAGCCTTTATGGCTGGAAAGTCGAAAAAAGTGCTTGAAACACAATGCCAAATTTGCCAAATTGGTGGAAAACCCAAATACAGTAGAACTCCTGTATAATGAATCGCTCGGGGATTTGAAATTCGTTCGTTATAAAAGAGTTTCGTTATAGAGGAGTTTTAATTCATATAAATATTTTGAGCTGATTCTGAGCGGGGCAGGTTGGGCACTTTCCCTGTTAGCTGGGCAGATAGGGTACATTCCTTGTTAAAACACCTTAGCAAGTGTTCATCGCCAAATCCACGCATCTGTTACGGCAGATCTCCCTCACCTTTTCAAAGTTCGGCCGAGCAATAAATCTTATCGGCCAAAACGTACGAAAAGGCCCGATATCTTCGCAAGTCAGTTTCGTTTTGTCGTATGCCTAAAAGACCAGTCTTTTAGGAAGTCCTTTAATAAAGGTAAAAGACTAAATGTTTGCATAATCAGGGCCGGGCGGGGACTTTTGGTCTGGGGGCGGGGGTTTAAAAAATCGGCACAAGTAGCTGCCGACTTTTTGCCAATTTTTTTTTCAAAAAGCCACAGGGGGGACCACGTTCAACTTTTTCGGAACATTTTTTTTGGGGGATAGGGGGGGGGGAGGGGAGGGGTTTATAGTTAAAATGCTTTTTTGTAAGATATAATAGTCTCCACCCGCTCAGGGTAGAATATACAGGGTGCGCCAAACGTTCTGTTACACGGGTTTTTAATCTAATATTTATTTTAACACTGTAAAAGTCCCCATTACATAATGGTGAAGCTGTTATGGAGCGAACTTTTATCAGAGCGTCATGCCATCGTCCTATTCTTGATCATTTTCATTTACTTTGGGTATTTTCACTATTTTTGTTGCATGAAAGAAGCGTTACTCGTATTTTAACACATTACTTTTACATCAAATTTCAAAATATATTACAGTTAAATTATACTTCAAAATATATTACTGTTACATAGTAATTCAAGATATATTACCGTTACATCACACTTCAAAATATATTACTGTTACATAGTAATTCAAGATATATTACCGTTACATCACACTTCAAAATATATTACTGTTACTATTGCTATCATATATTACTGTGTACTACTTTTGTCGGCTACTATAAAAGGGCGATAAGTTTGGAGCGACCCAAAAGAAGCCCACCCCTTACAGAAAAAAATTTTCGAAAAAAGTTGAACGTGGCCCTGTGGATTTTTGGAAAAAATTGGCACAGGAGCTACCTGTGCTGATGTTTTCAACCCCCGCTCCCAGACCAAACGTCCCCGCCCAGCCCTACTAGCGGGTCCGATCGAACAATCGGTTAGCAATGGGATTACTATGCTAATGTGGAAGTAAATAACTATATCATTTAAAACTAAAGTTTCGCATTTATCATATTGGAGGTCTCACCAAGATCGACAAATGCGCTATTTATTTTAAATTTTTGGATCATGTATACTCTAGTTCTTCAGCGTCTG